CCGGTCAGTGAGAAAACTGCACCTGTCACTGGGGTTATGGGGAGGCCACAACATAGCCTTCCTTCAATGCCTAGGGTTGGTGGCAACTTGCAGATGGTTCCCTCTATATGGAAGAAGGAGACCCAGCTCCGCTCCTGGCTTGTGATCTCCTTAGTAAATGAAAGGCGCAGATTGTTTTCACCCCAGGATCAGAGGGTTCCCTTACGGGTACCCCCAGATCATGCCTTGCCTTATCAAGTGATACTCAGGGCCCTCCACCGGAAGGTAGAAGGTGAGATTTGTGACAGGGTTACCAGCAGTGGGTCCCTCACTGGCTGCCCAGGTCCGGCACTCCACTGGGCCTGCAGAGGCAAGGGCATCTGAGCTAGTTCCCCAGAGGAGGCAACAGCCAGCCTCACGGCCCCCAGTTCAGGAAGGAGCGGACTCCCAGCAGACATCTCGCTTTATTGCCTTTTCTTTCTGTCCATGATAACCAGATATGTTCCTGGGGTCTAGTCTTCTCCGTCAGCCTAGCTCACGCCCAGCTCACTTGTAATGGGCATGCAGTGGGCGTGAGAACAAACCTTTATCGTTGTCAGCCACGAGATGTTGTGATTGTCTATTCCAGTTTCCAGCAAAAACAAGCTGACCTGATATAGGAAATTTGGGGCTCACAAGCTCTGTGGGCAGGCCTCTAGGCTAAGACTTTGCAGACAACCCCTAGAAAAGCTCGCTCTCTTGTGTCTCTCCTTTACTGTCACCCCACTGCCACACTCAGTGCTTCTGGCACCCGATGGGTAGGGATTTTCCCACACCAAGCAATTCTTCTGTGACACCAGCAGGGTGTCCTATAGCTCAGTTCTGAGCTAACCAGGTTCATGCAAACCTCCCCTGACACACTCACACTACCCCACCACCCCACCCACCGCCATACACAGACACATTAAGGGATCAGCCTTAGGAGACACCTCCCCACCTGATTCAGGTGCCAATTGCCAGCAGCAGGTTACCCACAACTTTTGTCCAACTTGGCTGCCAATGGGCGGTACCTGTGGTTCCCTCCCTTGGATTCAAATATTTGCTACAAGCTCTCAGACCTCAGGGCAACACATTTGCAAGTTGGTAATAAAGGAGATGGTACATGATACAGGTGCACAGCCGGATGTAGAGGTAGGTAGGGAGAGGTCCGCAAAGGCTGTGCCTGCAGGTGCTTCTGCCTCCGTGAAGCCAGGTGTGATGTGCTCACCCACCTGGAAGGTCTCTGCACCCAGTCCTTGGGCAGGATCGATGGTTAACTCCATTTCTGGCCCCTTCCCTTTCCTGGAGGAAAGGGTTTGGAATCTTTGGAGCTTCCAGTCATGGCTTGGCCTTTCTGGCGACGAGCCACATCCAGAACCCACCAGGCATTGTGTCCTTGGAAAAAAGACACACCTGCCACCCACAAGGTTGCGAGGGATTTAGGAGGTCTGTGTTAGGAACTGAGGTTGAAATGCAAGTTTCAAGAACAAAAGATGCATCTAGTGCTCTTATCACTTAGAAATCACAGTTTTAGGAGCTGCCAGGAACAGGAAGCAGAAGTTTTTTTTCAATTATTTTACAATGACTGAACCAACCCTTCAGGGAGCTTCTCCCTCACCCACATCAGGAGGCTCCACTGCATGTGGCACCTTGAGAATAGTGTTGCTCTCGCCCAGCACCCAGGAAGTTATCACCCAGCAACACCACCCTTTTGTGTTCAATTTTGGTGTGTTCTGTGTTGAGGTATAAACTTACAAATAGCAAAATACACAAATCTTAAATGTACCATTGGGTCTGTTCTGACCAATATACATTCATGCCATCTGCACCGCTATCGGGGTACAGAACATGCCCCTTCTCAGTCGACCTCCGTGCTGCGAGAGTAAACAACATAATAATAGTAGAGTAGCTACTATGGTTCTGAAGCCTATCACCATCAATTAGTTTGTTTATTCCAAAGCTGCATGCAAGTGGAATCATGGTCTGGGCTCTCTTGTTCTTGGACTCCTCTTTCATTCAGCATAGTGTTTTTGAGATGTGTCTGAGCTGGTGGGTTTAGCAGTAGTCCCTCCTTTTTCGTGGCTGAGTAATACTCCACTGCCACAGATGCCATCACCTGTATTTACTCTCCTATGCAAATGGACATCTAGGTTGTTTCTGATTTTTCACTATCACAAGTGACGGTACTGCAAACACTCAAGGGCGTCTCTCTGTGGACATCTGGTTTCATTTCTCTTGGGTAGATACATAAGAATTGAATTGCTGGGCCATAGATTAAGTACATGTTTACCTTTTAAGAAAACCAATAATTTTCTTTTTTTAATTTAAAATTTATTTTATATTCCCCATACAATTACAACCCCCTTATTTTGACTCCAAGCCCTCCTTTCCCCAACCCCCACCCCCCATAGAGTGTCTCTGCTTCATAGTTGTTTGTTGATTTTGATATTTTGTTTCTTATAGCTATTCTTTTTCCTGGTCCCTTATTTAAGTTTTCTAGATTCCTGCTATGAGTGAGACCATCCGGTATTTTTCTTTTTCTTTCTTGCTTATTTCACTGAGCATGATCCCTTCCAGCTCCATCCATGTTGCTGCAAATTGCATGTGTTTATCTTTTTTGAATGCTGAGTAATATTCCATGGTGTATATGTACCACATCTTCTTGATCCAGTCATCTATTTTTGGGCATTTGGGCTGTTTCCAAAGCTTAGCTATTGTAAACAGTGCTGCTATAAACATAGGGGTGCAGGTGCTCTTTGGAATTGATGTTTCTGTGTCCTTTGGGTAAATACCTAGGAGTGGAATTGCTGGATCATATGGAAGCTCTATAAAACCAATAATTTTCTGAAGTGATAGTACCAATTTACCCCTCTCACCAGAAACATATGACTATCCTATGTGTTCCATCTCTCTCTCGATACTTAGTATTGTCAATCTTGGTGATACTGACAATAAAAATATTGTCACTTTTTAATTTTCACCATTCTGTGGGTGTCTCATCCTGGCTTCCATCTGCCTTGTACTGATGGTGATGAGATGAGGATCTATCTTTTCATGTGATCATCAGTCATCTAGATAGCCTTTTTTTTCTCTTGGCATGTGGTTGCCTGTTAATGCCCACAGGCTCCTGACCGGGTGCTAGAATGATGTGACCAAAAGCTCATCATCTTCACACTAGACTGACCTGCAAAAAGCGGGCAAATAAGCAGAAAGATTGCCCCTTCTGGACCTCCACATCTCACAGAGTAAAATTCATGTCCAGAACCCCAGCTCAGGGGCATGGAGGGACATAGTACCAGCTTTTGCATCTCCCTCCCATGAGAAGCTGGGGTGGTGGTGGGATGGACGCTGAGCGCCGGCTCCTCAGGGTCCACGTGGTGGTCAGTACTGCCCCTGTTCTGCCCGGGAGGCTGTCAGGCCCCCCATGCTGTCGACTCCTCAGACAGGGCTGGGATTCCTGGACGCCGTGTGAGAGGGCGCCAGGGAACACGAGCTCACATTGAGTCACATCACAAGAGAGTCAATCACTCCCTGAATATTTTTTAATTCCCCCCAATGACAAGAGGGAGAGTGTGTCTGTGTAGGGAAGAATTAAACTTACCCTCAGCTCCTGGGAGGTAACCTCTAAGCCCGTGGGGTGTCCTGCTTGCAAACACCTGTTTCCCCTGGGATCTTGGGCCACAGGTAGTTTCTAACAGTGCGGTTGTTGTGGGTGGCTTTGGGCCACAGGTATCTGCTCAGACTCCGGAGGGGCTGAAACTATGGTGATCATATGGGTGGTCAGTTTGGGGGGGGGGTCCCGTGGATGGTCACACATCATCGCCAGAAGCTAGGAGGTTCCGCGGCTCCCCCAGGAGAGGACAGCTGGAAGCTTCGAGCTTCCTGGACCCTGTCCCGAGTGTCAATTTCCTTGGCTAGTTCTTATCTAGTTCCTTTCACTGTAATAAACCACCACCATGAGGGTCACAGCTGTCCATGAGTTCTGGGGTCCTCCTGATGATTGCCAAAACCAGGGGTGGTCTGGAGGCCCTCAAACTTTCAGTTGGCATGAGAAGCGAAGGTGGTGTGGGAACCCCCCACCCCGGGCTCTGTGATCTCTCTGGAAAGTCAGGTCACTTGGCGGGTTCAACAGAGTGGACTCTGGCCTCTGGCTCAGAGCCCTTGGCCAGCAACTCGGTATCAGCCAGAACAGAGTTTATCTGTTTCTTTGTTTATTTTTTCATTGCATTTATCTTTATGGCCGTCTTCTATGTGTAGGAAGCAATACTGGTTCTCCACAGATTATTGTGTCTTTTAAAATAAATACATTTAAGTTAAAAAGAGAGTTGATCTCTAAAAAAGAAAGTGAGTCATGGTAGCAGGGCGGGGGTGAAAGTGCAACAGACATTGTGGGGAGGGCAATGAATGTTATTATGCCGCCTTATTGTGATACACTCTGATATTTTCTCTTTAGTGTTTCTTTTACTTCTTTTTAAGCAACTCACAGCCTGTTGAGCTGATTTTGTGACCCACAAGCAGGCTGTGAGACCTGACGTCTGTGAAAACGATTATGCAACCACCTGTGAGCCACCTTGTCTCTTTACTTTGGCACGATGACCCTTCAACCCGGGGCAGACACCCCTCCCCCTGACACCCCACAGCCCTGCACTTCGGAAGCCGGAGGCCACCTCCGGCCTCATCTGGTGGAGCCCGACCCCCAAGGCCTTCAGGACATGCCCACCAGAGCCTAGGCCCCTTCCCAGCCATGTTCTGGGCCCTTGGGAACCTCAGACTTTAGAAGGCCTGGCTCTGCACCTCAGCCAGGCCAGGGCAGAACCCAGCCATGACTCTCTCTGTGCCCTGCTACCCAATCCCTCCCCCCATCCCAGGGACCTTTCATTCACTGTTTGCCCTTCCTGGGTTTGTGAGTCTGTGACCCCCTGATTTGACTTCTCAGTGGGCCTCCCCCTGCCTCTGCCGCTCCCCTTCCACTCCCAGTGAGGAATGATCAGAGACACGGGTGGGGAACACCAGGATTTACTGTTAGAACACAATGGGCGACTCGGGGGTGGGGGCTTTGCCTTTGGCCTCAGCTCAGAATCCGTCCATGTCATCCCTTGCCAGCTGGGCTTCACTGACCACTGTGTAGTCTCTGCCAGAGGAGGGAGGAGCTGGGCGCGTGAGCCAGCGTGGGTTGGGTCTTAGGGTACCCATCAGATCGTCGGCCCCTGCTTCCGGTGCACTCACCTGCAAATATTCCGGCATAATTGGGGCAACCGCCTGCACTTGCCACCTGTGCGGAAGGAAGGCATGGTTCCGTCAGGAGCTGGTGTGGGTTCCCGTGTCTGCCCCGACACGGTGTGGGTTCCTGTGTCTTCCCTGATGCTACAGGGCCGGGCTCATCCGTCCAGCCCCCCAGAAGCTCCAAAGCAACTCAGCAGGCCATGGGAGCTGGTGCAGGGCCCCGATCCCTCAGTCTAATCCTTCTGCTTTATTTGCCTTAACATCTATATTTTCCTCTGCATCCACTCGAGCTCACAAATGTCTGACATCTGGGTTTTCAGCCACCTGCCCCTCCCCCCAAGGGCGGGGACCAGGGTCGAGTCCCCAACACAGGTTGGCACAAATGTTTGTTCTGGAAGCAATTTATGGCCCCAGAGCTAATGCTCAGGCTCTGCCCTCCTGCAGACCTCGGCCCGTCCTTCTCCGGTTCTCATGTGCTGTGACTGTGGGCAAACCCTCCACTCTCCGAGTCCCGCTTTTCCCACAGAGGAGAGGGTGGCCCCAACAGTCAGGAGGGACAAACACGCTGGATGACTGAGGTGACCGTGCGTGCCCCCTGGACTCAGCACGGCTCGGGCACCGTCGGCGATCTGACTGGCTATTATTATTGATTATTGATTATTATTACTATCCACCTGCTCCACCCTAAGGCAAAAAAGATATGGCTGTGCCCACTTGCCCGATGTGGAAGCTGGACAAAAATAGAGAAATCCTATGGTAGTTAGGCATTTTACCAGAGCCAGCAAGCTTGTGTTTTATATAACCGACATTTAAAAAACAAACAAAAAAATTATTTCTCTGCTTGGTAACCTCTCTCTGGCCCTCCTGGGAGGCTGACCTGAGAGCAACACCCCAGTCTACTCAGCACTGCCAGGAGGGGGAGGCAGGCCGGGCATCTCATCCCTTCTGCCCGGCTCCTTCCCATTGGGCTTTGGAGAGGCCAGGCTGGGGTGGTCTCCTAGGAACCAGCCTATGAGCCTCTGCAGCTGCACCCCCACCTGCCTGCCACAGCACTCGCCCCTTTAGGCTGGGGTGATCACACTCCCCACTGCTGCTGGCCCTGGGGTGCTGTCCTCCATCACCCCCACACCCATGCCACCATTAAACTCTCTAATCAACCTTTGTCACCGCCCTGACCTGAGTGATACAGGCCCCCGACACCCAGGCCCAGGGAGCTTTTACACACACATTAGCTGTTGAAAGCTGGCTACTCTGGGGCTCCACCTGTCCCCCTCATTCTTGCTCAGCTGAATGAGAGGGGTTGCCCCCTGAGGTTGAGGACTCCATCCTCATCCATCAGCTCCCTCCTGGTCTCCCTCATGCCTCACACCCTTGCAGAGGCTGGGGGAACACCCCCCTCCCCAGCATGGTGACTGCGCCTCCCTGTTAGTATCCGTGTCTCTTCATGTGACTTGGCCTCTCTGGTCTTTAAGATGTGGAGTTTATTTCCTGACCTCTGGAATGAAGGGGTCTTGTGCCTTGCTTTATCCATTTGAATGTGGCGGAGGACAAAAGTGCAGGGCTTGTGTGCTTTCACGCATTCCTTTAGACCCCTGGCTAAGCTCCTGGAGGATGAGACACCAGGCAAAGACCCCAGACACCCCTAGAAACAGAGCTCCCTGCTGACCTGCAGCTGGCCTTAGATATGTGAGTACATCCAGCAGCCACTAGAAGAAGAACCACCCTGCAGAGCCCAGCCTACATTTCCAAATTGCAGAATTGAGAACTAATAAATGGTTCTCATCGAAGTCATTGAATTCTGGGGTTGTTCATATGGCTATTGAGCCAACAGATATGCCTCATTTAAATCAGCCTCACCCAGCCTCCCTGTGGCGCAAGGAGTTAAGTCTCAGCACTAAGAAGCTCCCTGCAGCCACCGTAGCATGAGTTTGATCCCCAGCCAAGGAGTTACCCACATGGTGCAGCAGACCTCTCCTGACTCCCCTCAGCAGTGTATTTCAGTCAATCCACCTGTTCTGCTCCCCACTCTGTCTCTGGTGCATCCTCTCAACCTCACACCTCTGGCATGTCCCCCAGTTGTTGTATGTATAAATAAATAAATTTTTTAAAATAAAAATAAAACAGCCTTACCCAGGAGACTTCAAGGGTCCTCCTCCCTCCCTCCCTCCCTCCCTAAATCCCTTCCCCTCTCCCCCTCTCACTGGTTAAGATGACAATGCCTGTGATGAACAGCACCGCTGCGATGATCAGCCCCCTTTTCCGGAGTGTGTACACGTCTGCAGAGAGAAAAACAGGGGAGCATGGTGAGAGGGGCCTTTCCCCTTTCTCCCTGCTTGTCCCCCCGACCCTCCCCTGGGTAACTTACCATAGTAGAAAGGGTTATCTTCATTTGAACCTGGAGGGGACAGATGGGGAACAGGTCAGAGTTCAGCAAAGGTTTGTGGAGTAAATCAGCGAATGGTGGAGCCAGGGAGAAGAGGCCCTGGGTCTCAGTCTCAGTGAATTTAGGACAAAACCCCAAATCCTCACATGGCATACAATTTGGCTCTTCTTCTCACTCTCGCCCTTCCTCCAACCCCACTGGCTGCCCTAAGGGTGAGCATGCCAGACTCCTGGCCTCAGGGCCTTTGCACCGACTACTCCCTCTGCCCGGGACACCCTTCCCCAGACATCCACAGATGTCTGGTACAGATTTTTTTTAAAGATTTATTTATTTATGCATACAAGAACTGGGGTACAGGCCAGAGGTGCAGGGGTGAGAGGATTCACCAGAGACAGAGTGGGGAGCAGAACAGGCAGACTGAAGAAATACACTGCTGAGGGGAGCAGCGGGCAAGACAAGAGAGGTCTGCTGTGCCATGTGGGTAGATCCCTGGCAGAGGAGCAAACTCAGGCCCCAGTGGCTGCTGATAGCGTGATAGCACTGAGACTTAACCCCTGCGCCACTAGGGAGGCCCTCAATGAATTTTTTTTGAATGAATGACCTCTCTACATGACCCATGGGATTATCTCTTGCAGTCATTTATTGGGGTTTGGCTGGGCAGAAAGGGAACAATAAAACCATGAGGTTGCCCTAAAAAATCAAGGTGCCCTAAAAGCAGAGCTCCCTGATGACCTCAAACTGAGCTCAGATGCACAAGTCAGAGATCTGCTGAGACCACGGAACAACCCCACTGAGCCCAGACTAAATTCCAAATTGCAAACTTGAGCGCTAAATAGTCATTTCAAGCCATGGCGTTTTGGGGTGGTTCACACGTGTGGCACTCATTTATGCATTCAAGTCATCTATCAGACATTTATTCCATGTCTACCTTGTGCCCACCCTCTGCCCGATGTGACGTCATGGGCTCACCCAACACTGTTTACTGAGACTAGTCTGCTGGCAGTGCTGCAGCAGCCAAAGACACGCAGGGCATAGGTGATGGCCAGGTTCCATCTGGGAAGGGGGTTACTGACCACTTGACCTGGGGGCAGGATCCAAGTTGCCTTTGCCAGCTGGGACTCCTCTCTCATAGGGTGTGGTGCCTTTAGCTGGATCTGTAGAAAAAGCGGCCAGCAAATGATGGGGGGTAGAGCCAGTGAGGCCAGAAACAAGGGACGACTTACACGTGTATCAGGGAGAAGCTCCTCTTCCTAAACATTCAGAGCCCGGCCAAGGTTCCCCCGCACCCTCCCCTGGAAGAAATGGCTCATATGGAAATACTAAACTGCCCCAGGCCCCAAGGAGCCCCTGGGCCCTCTACTAGGGCTTCCTGACCCATCCTGTGGTCCAGGAAGGAAAGGGTCATAACCAGGCAGCAGCCTCCAGGGGCTGGCCCAGGGGCAGAGTCTGGAGATTCTTGTATTAAAACATTTTGAATTTCGCTTCTGTTTCCAGCCTAAAACCTCCACAGAGTTTCTCTTTTATAAAAAAAACATCGATGCTCTCTAGGCCTGCCCCCTGACACAGAGCAGTGTCCCCACAAGGGGTCACCCCTGCCTGATGCCCCAAGGGGAAGGCAGCAGGGGAAGAAGCTGCCTCATGAGCCCGAACCCCAAGGTCTCTCTCAGTGCCTCACCCTTACCTATGAACTGGCAGCCAGGGACTCTGAGATGCTGGGGGAGGTATAAACAAGATTAGCAGCAGAGGCAGATGCAGGGACCCCAGGAAATGTGGGGGACAGCTGGATGGTGTGTGGTGCTCATGTGCAGGGGAGCTTGAGGGCCTGTGCTCAAATCCTGGTTCTGCTGCTTTGGGCTGTGTGGCCTAGGGCTGGCTGAGTAACCTCTCTGGGCTGCGGTTTCCTTCCCTGTAAAATGGGATGCGGCTGTTCCCAATACATAGAGTGGCTGTGAGCGTGGACTGGCTGTGTTCCAGAAGCCAGGGCAGCAGGGTTAGCGCTGGCTGTGCTGTCTGCGGGTGCCAGTCCCAAGACCGGCTCCCTGCTTCCCTGGCCTATCTGGTTCTCCTGCTGCAACCCAGCCACAAGGGGGAGCACGGGACTCAGTCTCCTTGCAATTCCAAGCAGGGACTAGGAGTGGACATTGGGGACTCGGAGGCTCTGAGCTGGCAGCTGACAGGTGCCAGTTCCCCACCAGGAGGAAGAGGGAGAGAGATGCTGAGGCTCCCCAGTGTTTTTACCACTCGGCTCCTAGTCTCCCTCCACCAGGTGCGTCTCTGCCACCAGGTACTTGGAAGGACAGAGACTCAGGTCAGCAAGAACTCCAGGAATTGAATTCAGAGCCATGAAAGTGTTTTCTCAGTTGGGAGGTGTGGCTGCGTCCCCCCAGGGGCACTTCTGTGCAAAATAGAAAAGCCCCGTCCCGCTACACTTCATTTTATTGGTTGTATAATTGTTTAACAGTCAGGAGAAGATGCGTGTCTGCCAGCACTGGAAAAGTGTAACGATTATAAAAATCTACAAGGGGACTGGCAGGCCTTCCAGGTGTGCGCTTGTGCAGTGCCCAGACTGCACAGCTGTGCATGCATCTTGGTGGCAGAGTACGCTATAGTGTGTCCCTGCGGGTGGGGGCTGCCCCTCCAAAATGGATCAACACACAAGTATTAGAGGCCACCTTCACTGGGCCCAGCCCCCTCTCTCTAATTGGCTTATCTTGAGGGGAGCCACTCCTTTCCTGACTCTTGGGCTATGTGGTTCAAGCAGGGTTGGCCCCCCCCCATTCCCCAGCCCCCCAGGGAGGGACACAAGAATCAGGTCTGACCAATTAGAGCAGTTCATTTCCTTGGCTCCCAGGTCACACATGGACATGTGATTCCAACTGGGCCAGTAAGAGTCAATTCTAGCCTCTGGGCCTTAAGTAATAAGGAAGAGATGTCATCTTTCTACTGAAGGCGTAGCCCAGAAACTTCAAACACTGAGACCATCTTTGCCACCAAGAGGAAAAATGTCACTTGTAGATGAGGACAATAGAGCTATGAGAGGGAGCAAATCTGTCCTGGTGGAGGTGCTGGAGCCCCTTGATACAGCCATACCTAAAATCCATACCTCTGGACTGTGCAGAACATTTATATCCAATAATTATTTTTTAGGATGTTTCTTTATGCATACAAGAACTGGGGTACAGGCCAGAGGTGTGAGGGGTGAGAGGATTCACCAGAGACAGAGTGGGGAGCAGAACGGGCAGATTGACTGGAATACACTGCTGAGAGGAGCAGCAGGCAAGTCAGGACAGGTCTGCTGCTCCATGAGGGTCTCCTCCCTGGCTGGGGATCTAACTCGTGCTGCAGTGGCTGCTGATAGCTTCATAGGTTGTGTTTTAACCCCTTGTGCCACCAGGGAGCCCCTCCAATAATTTTTTAAGTAGGGTGTTCTGTATTCTGCAACTGGGAAGCTCCTGCACTAGGAACCACCCACAGCTACAGTTTCTAGCACCAGTCCTGGGTAGGGGTCTGAACCACAGGGTCCTGCATTGTCAGGCTGGGGAAGCACTTTGTACTTGGTGCTTCCTTACAGACACCTGCTGCAGAGAGAGGCAGAGGCAGAAATCCCACCACAAAGAAACATTCAACTTTCAGTTTCCCAAGTATGTCTGACCACAAACTGAAATAATTTTTTTTTTCTGAAAACATCTTAACAGTTCCCCAAACAGATGCCCTGAGAAACGTCCTTGGGGAAATGCTGACCTAGACAAAAAAATAAACAAAATTCCTATGCCACACTTCTCAGTGCCAGGCCCTACCTTGCATTAGGCCCTTGTCCACGCTGGGGTCTGATGTTAGAAGCTCATTCGTTCCGCTAGGGTGCTGGGTCTGGGTCTCCCACTGGATCGGTGTTGTTTCTTCTTGAGTCGGAAGGGCAAGAAGGGGAGAGTGAGAAACAGTGACTCAGAGACAGTAGATCCCTGATCGACAACCCATCGGGTTGGCCAGATCAAAGACATTCACATGCCAAGTGTCACTGTGGGTCATGACGGGACTCCTGCTGGTTTGAGGTGCACAGCAGGGCAGTCCTTTTCCGAGTGGCTTTTAAAACAAACTTTAGTGTTGGTATCCTTTGCCCCAAAGGGTTGTGGACCCCAATCCCAGGATTGATCCCAACTTGCTGAAACATCTGGGGAGAGTTACCCTAAGCCCTTGTCCCTTGTCTATAAAGGGGAATACAGGCCATTTCTATCTCAGAGAGTCTGTGTGAGGATTGAAAGGACAAACACAGGGAAAATATTTAGAACCATAACCCACACTTAAGACACGCTGTAAGGGGTTCCCTGAGGAGGAAGAGGCTGAGTTGCTCACTGTGGGGCGTTATGTGTAGCAGGAGAAACTACCAAGATGCTCATGGAGATGGGCAGGGCTTCATTCACTGGGCACAGAGCCCCTGTGGAATACAATGCAGCTGTGGAAAGTGCCAAGATCAGAATGTATAAAGGGACATGGGAAGAGCTCCCAAACACTATTGCATAGAGGGTGAAAAAAGCAAGTTGCACAGAAACAATCATATAATATTCTTAAGCTCACGCAAATGCACCTCTCAGTCCATTTTCTAAAGTTGATACCCACATGATACAGCATCACTGGGGAGCAACCCCAATCCTATGCCTACAGTGGGGGCCGCTCAGAGACAGGGGAGAGAACCAGGGTGTTGGATTGTGAAAAGGGAAATTCTCTTTCTCTCGTTCTTAGAGGCCCTCTTGGCCCAATAAGAGGAGAGCCTGTTTGAGAATAAAGCCAACACAGAAAATGGAACAGACTCCATCATGATAGTATCAGCTGAGCACCTAGATCCAGCCATACCTGAAGGTCTAGCCTTAGTCTTTTCAGTCTCACAAACCCAAAAATTCCTATTTGGTCCAAACTTGAGATTTCTTTTACTGTGATTTGCAGTGATAGGATCTTAATAGATCTGTTCCTCTTTCCTTACCCTGGAGTTCAGACTCGGTAGAAATGTCCGTATTGCCAGTGTAGTCTGGAGAAATGGATGTGTTCTCCAACTTCTGTCCTGGGAAATCAAGGATAAGAAATCATGGAGGACCCTCTGATCCCTCTTCTCTCATCCACCTGCCCTCCCTTCTGAAAACTCGGGGGTAACTTGGGAGGTCCTGTCTGCTGCTCTTTGATCGATCTTCTCTGGCAGTGTCAACCCTGATGCTGGAAGTGTTTGAGGAAAGGCTGCCTCCCTGTGCTCTCCTGCATCTACTTCTCAGGGCTGTAAAGAGGAGGAAAGGAGATATAGGGAGGGGGAAGGGTGTACCCCCCTGCTTTTATGTTTTCTGCACTGGACCTATCCACTGCCCCCACCCTGATCCAGTCTCCATCCTTGCCAGTGTCCTTCCCAGTCTCCCTGCTGCTGTCCCTGTCCCCACAGCCTGTTCCCAGCACATAGCCAAGGGAGCCCAAGAAGCACCCCCAGCAGCTCTGCTGGCTAAGAGCCTGCTCTGGCTCCACCTGGATCCTAGAAAAACCCAAGTCCTCGCCCAGCCCATAAGTCCCTCCTCTGGCTGGTCCCCTGACACCTGTCTGACCTCTCCCCTTCCCACTCTGCCTTGTTGACCCCACGCCAATCACGGGCCGGCTGACTGCTCTGCACTCACCGCTCAGCACTCATGCCCCCATCCCTACTCAGCTCACCCCCTCATCCTTCAAATGCCTGCCCACACGTCATCTTCTGCTGAGGCCTTTCCTTCCCGCCCTACTTAAACCACCCTCATTCCTCTGCCCTTCTTGTTGCCCGTTGTGTGTCCCACCTTCCAGCACACCCTAGAAGTTTCTGGCAGACTGTTTAATGTCTGTCTCCCAAAGTAGAATGTGAACTCCTGTTTTATTCATCGCTGTGTCCTTAGTGCCTAGAACAAGGTCTGGTAGATAGTAGCTGCTCAACAAAAACTAATTGAATAACTGAAGAACCATTTTATCAAAGAGAAATGAGAAGAGCTACAGGGGAGGGTATGCTCTAGATTCCAGGAGGCTTGGAATCCTGGCCCCTCTGCTCAAGAACCTCTGGCACAGGCTACTTCCATTCACTGAGCCTCAGTTTCCCCATCTGTAAAATGGACATGACAATACACATAATAGAACTGAAGCTAAAACGAATGAACGCACCCAGCACCAGACTTCTCAAAAGCACCTGCAAATGCCCTCAGAGACACTGCCAGGACCGGAGAAGGCATCTCTGCTACTCGGGCCTGCCCCATCCCATCCTCTTTGCTAACTTGCGCCTCCCAGTGATCCAGGCAGGACTTTGCTGGAACCCAGGGTTCCTGGCTGCCGAGTGGAAAACCAACACCTGTCTCGCCGCCAAATCAAACTCCTTGTGCTCTTCTTGGAGGTGAAGTGAAGGCTACTCAGCAGGACAGGCCCTGGCCAGACTTGCTGGAAGCAGCCACCCAGGCTGAGGGTTCCAGAGAGGGTGTGACTCTGGCCCCTCATGGGGATGCTCACTTCCTGGGGCCAGCTCAGTGGGGGCCTGAGGACACAGACAGGAGCATCCAGACCTTCCAGGTGCCCACCCGGCAGCTCAGAGGAGGGGCTGGGGGCTCGGCGGGGTGGAGACCAGGGCTAGGCCTTACCTCTGGCGGGAAGAATCAGGCCAACAAGGGTGAGGAGACAGAGGCGACCAGCAGGCGACATCTGTGGGGCAAGGAGGAACTGGAATCAGCCAAGCTGTCAGGGAGGCAGCCCTGGGGAGACCCCAGGAGGCCCCTGCAGCCCCCGCCCCAACCCTCAGCAGCTGCCTCCGGCTTCCGAGTCCGCCTGGGGGGCTGTCAGCTAGCTGCTGGGGCAGGAGGAGGATTTCAGAAAAGGGGGTCCCCACTCCACCCGCCACTCCCTTCTTCCCTCTGCGGGTCCCCAAAGAACTCAAGCATCAGACTGAACTGGGGCTCCGGTAGCAGCACGGGGACACCCTGCAGGAAAGAGGCGCCCCTGCGCCTCCCAAGGTAAGCGCTGCCTGGACTTGGAGGGCAGGATGGACGTGCTCTGGGGCTCACCCTGCGCGCCCGTCCGGAGCACAGGAGTCCGCCAGGAGGGGCAGGGAGGAAGAGTGACTAATCGGCTCCTGATCTCAGAGGAAAAAGTGACTCGGTGTCAGGGGCCTCGGCGGGGCCGGGGCGGGCAGCGGTGGCGGCGGCCCTGGGAAGCCGGGCGAGGGATGGAGGCACCGGGGCGCGGCGCGGGAGCTGGGGCGCAGCTCTGTGCCTCCCGGGGTGGGGTAACCGCGGAGGGGGAGAGGAGAGAGCACCAATGGGGCGCAGAGGCCCGGAGATCGGCCCGCGCCCCACCTGAGCCGGACCCCCGAGGGGGCGGGGGGCGGCGCGGCGGGGAGACTCACGGCGCAGCGGCTCCGGCGGGCGGCGGCCTCGTGGGGACGTGCTGCGGCCGCCGCTGCTTCCAGGCGGAGGGTGTGGCCAGGGGAGCCCAGCGGGCGGGACCCAGACGGGCGCAGTCATTTCCTCTTGGGTTTCCTGGCTTCAGAGTTCGGGTGGGAGCAGGAGGGGGAGATGCTGAGGGCGGTGGGGGCGCAGGGGTGAGAGGCTTCCACCCGCGGCCTCGGGAGGGTGAGTTTGGGGCACAGGGGCAGGCAGGTCTCGGCTGGGTGGGGTTCCTTTGGGGGAAGGAGAAGGGGTTGACTTTGGGGTCTCTGGGAGAGTAGAAGGGAAGGGGCCACTTGGGGGGACGCTGAGGGAGGGGAATGGAAACTCAGTAGAGGCTCAGAGAGGAGGCCGCGGGGGACTCTGAAGAAGCGGGAGAAGGAAGGGAGCAAGTTTGGGGCTAAGGGACAGGGGTCCCCCAGTTTGGCCCCCCCTTTGTCCCCACAGATGAGAACACACAGACAGAACAGGGGAAAAAACCAAATGCACATTTATTAAGCTCAAGACGTAGACACTGAGGGTGCAGGAGAAGGGATCTTCAAGGAGACAAGGAGGTGCAGGAGAGCAGTACACGGGGATTCTGGGGGGCAGGGGGTGGACTCCTGGACCCCAAGAGCTGGAGGCCTGGGTCCCTGGATCTGGGATGCAGATGGGCGCTTTGGGGTGGTCGTCATTGCCAAGGCCTGGGGAGGGGCGTCAGGGTGCAGCGGCTCCAGTCTCGTGGTGGTGGGGTGGCTCATTGGGGAGGGCTCCCCCGAGCAAGGCTGGGGTCCCCACCGTCTCCACCTGGTCTTCAGGCTCCTGCACTCAGGTAGGGACAGCAGTGGAGGTGCCCCAGGCTGGTTTTACACTCCACCACCTCCAGGGGCTGGAGAGAGAGAGAGAGAGAGAGAGAGAGAGACAGAGAGAGACAGAGAGAGAGAGAGAGAGACCAGGAGCACATGTAGGAGCCTTGGTAGCTAACAGGGTCGAAGCAACCCCCTCACCATAGAAGCCAAGACCCCCAAGGCCTGTCACCCTTGAGCTGCACTTGGGGAACCATCTTGCCTCTCCACATCCTAATGTCTGGTCCATATCAGGACACTTGTGGGGGTGCTTTGTCCTGCCCCATGGGACACTGTTGTGGAGGGGAACCCACCTGCGATGAGACTGGTGACTCCTGGCCCGGCCTGGGCTTTTCTTGGCCATCCCCCTGCCAGGAAGGGGGTCTCCTTCCTCCTCGGCCCACCCCTTTCCAACACCCTCTCCCTGCACTTGAAGCCAACAGGAAGGCCCATCCCCACCCACTTGGGCAGGTCATTTAACAGGAATGGGGCCAAATCCTGCACCAATACCTTAGACCGTGCCCAGTGCCAGGACCAGGCGCCTGCCCATCCCCTGCCAGCTACCCCATTCACGGCTACATGTCTTATTAAAAGTGTATGAAACAAAACGCATGCAATCCCAAACCAGACACCAAGTGCCCCGAGGCCCGTTTTAGTTACAAGAATTTTGTAGGACGCAGAGAGATTCCCTTCTCTGATTTTTTTTTTCTCTGATATTTAAAAACTCCCAGGCAAGGATGCCATTCCACTAGAACGGGGAGGGGGGGGGAGATTTTTACATAATTAAATTAACACCCCTCCAGAGCCACACTCATCTACAAGCTCATCCCCCTCCTACAGCCGACATCACCCCATCTTCCTTTGCAGCTTCTGTCCACTTGCAGCCACTATCCCCGGGGGCTCCCTCCTCTCCCCCTCCTCTGCCCCTCCCCCACTTCCTCTCTGTGTTCACCCCTCCCACACCATCCACCTGCTTTGCCACCCTCTGGTCCTCTTCACTCTTTATCCCTTTCCCAGATTTCCCCTCTTCCCATGCTCAAGTGCCCTATTCTCTCTTTGCCAGCTTCATTTTTTTAACATCTGTATTTCTGCATCTCCCCTTTCGTTACTTTGATGCAATTATTCAGAAACCTGCTGCTCCTCTCTTCTTCCTTCCTTCCCTCCCTCCCTCCCTTCCTTCTCCATCATTGCACCCCAGATCGTCCCAACGGGACCCCAAGGCGGGCAGCGCTCCCTCTTCCTGTCTCCTCTAGGCTCAACCTGTCTCCACGCTGCCCGGCAGGCCCCTCTCTTCACAGGCGGAGGCTTTCTCCAAAGGGAGCTGATTCGTCCTGGCTTTTCTAGGCCTCTGTCCTTGTTTCTGGAAGCTTCGTGGACTCTAGACCTTCCCCATCCCACTGACTGTCCATGGGTCAACATTTGGGATCTGCACGGTCTCAGCTGCTACTGAACTGGCCCGTGTCCAGCAGTTGGTGGACATTCCTAGGGGGTCCAGTGCAATCCACCCCCATGACCCCTTTCTGCTCCCGCCTCCCCTCCCCCCGGACCCACGAGCTTTCTTATCCTCACCTGAAGAGGGGAGCTCCGACTTACAGGATTTGCATGTTGGGCTGTGGAGGCAAAGATGGGAGAGAAAAGCATAAAGCAGTTTAATTACGGCAGGTTTTATGGGGACACATGACCAGCGCAGAGACCCTCCTGTTATGGACGCGCCCCTGCACCCTGGGCCGCTCCCCCCACTCCCCTCTCTCCCCAGTGCTGCCAGACCTCTCAGACCTGGAGTCCGCCTTCCTGCACTTCACCTTCTTGCCTGTCAGGAGAGAGGGAGACAGAACAGGACACAGGCTGTGAGGCCTAGGCACACCCAACAGGGGAACTGGAGGTGCTGGGGAACCTCCTTGAAGAGTTCTGGGCCCAGGAAGGGGTCACACTTACTGAGAATGATGATGATGCCCAGCACGAACATTATGGTCGCCAGAGTCAGGCCCACGGTCTGCACGGTGTCATAGTCTGGGGGAGGGAAGGCGGGACATCAAGCCAGGGGGCCTCTCTGCCCCCCTAGAGCCTCAGCCCAGCTGCAAGGCTTCCCAGTGGGGGCCCCAAATTCAGAGATGCTACAGGTCAGGCTGGAAGCCCTCTGGCTGGTTAATGTGAGGACTGAGAGCGTGGGCTTGGGCACTGGGGGCTCCTCTTGACCCCTCTACCCTACCCTCTGGACTCTTTGGGCCAAGAATATATATATGTAGTTCAACACTTGTGATTATATATGTTATATAATCACCTCTTCATTGGATAAGGCAGCAAGCAGGCTTCTCTATGATCTCCCCACCTCCTGCACAGGGATCCTGGTAACACTGAATCACATCAGGGTCCTTTTCAGTTCAGAGTCACCTGACTCCGTTTTGACTCCTGGTAAAAGCCAAAGTCCCCACCGCAGGCTGAAGGCCCTGCACCATCTAGTCCTTGTTCCCTTTCAGATCTCACCCCTTCCACCTCCCCCCTACTCCAGGCACACTGTTCTTACTGCTGCTCCTGGCATTTATCAGGCACAGATCTACCGCAGGGCCTCTGCACTTGCTGTTGCCTCTATCTGTAAGTTCTTCCCCTAAATATCCACATGGCTCCCTCCCTCACTGACTTCTGGAATTTATTCACATGTCAGTGAAACCTCCTCAGACTGTCCTCTTCAGAATTCCCCATTTTCTTCTCAATATTTTCTAATCGCATTCCTTCCTTCATGAGCATTACTCTTGTCTAATGCACTACAGGAAATATTTGTTGGAAACCTAATTTATGGAGCACCCGCTCCGTACCAGTAGTGATCCAGGCCTCTGCCCTTGTGGAGCCTGACTTTCACGTTTTAACAAAACCAAAAGCCATGGCTGATTGGGGTAGACTCCTCTTGCTGGGACTTGGCGAGGGTCTCTCCTTACAGAGCAGTCAGTATTTAATTGGAGGCCAGAAGAAAGAAATGGAATCTTAGCCAACGTATGGAGAACTAGAGGAGGAGTATTCCTTGCTGTGGGAACAGCAAGTGCAAAGGCCCTGAGGTAGAAAAGAACTTGGCATATTGAAGAAATGGCATGAATGAACAAAGGGGGAAGTCAAGAGGATGTTGAGAGGGAACCTAGGGCAGATCTACTAGACCTGGGGGTCGTTCCTTTGAGCTTCAGTGCTGTGGGGGACCATTTCATGGCATTACCCAGGTTAATCTGTCCCACAATCCTTATAGGAAGAAGCCGTTGTTATCCCTTCTCTATGGAAGGGCACAGAGAGGCAAGCTTGCTTGTCCAAGGTCACACAGCTAGTGTGTAGATCAGCCAGGATTCCAGTCCAGACAGCCTGGCTTCAGCGATTACATCTTGATGACCCAAAGCACAAGCCCAGAGTCCTGATGGTCTGAAGGAGGCCCAGAGAGGGTACCCCACACCCCCAAATCTGGCTCTGCCCTCCAAAAGCCCAGATTATGTGAACGGTAACCACGTGGTCACATGGACAGTGGCTTAGCTGGTGTCACACAGTCACAGCCGAGGCTACTCCAGCAGCACCCATGGGGACTGGCAGCCACCCCACCACCCAACCCCAGGGTTCCCTCTTCACAGCATCCACACTCACCATAGTGAAAGGGGTCAGATTCCTGAGGAACTGTGGAAAGGAAGGCAGAGAAAGAGGGGAAATATTTCAATACTGGTTTCTTAACATTTTTGAGGATCCAGATCTGGCCACAGGACCAACGGTTTCTCTGTAGAAATCAGATGAAGAAGACTCTTAGTCTGGGTGATAGAGCCCCATGGCAGGACACAAGAGCTGAAGAGTGTGGAGCACAGTCTGGATTCCAGTCCCCACTCTTTCCACCGGTCAGCACCTTCCCTTGTGCAGTGCACAGCCCACCCAACTGTACATGTGTTTAGTTCAAGGCCCCTGTGGAGGTCTGATTTTAAACTCTGGACTCATTTCCTGCAAAACACGTATTCACTTGCATATGATGCTGGGGGTTAATAGGCTGCTGAGTGTATCGGCTTCCCCTGAGCACTCCCTAAAACTTCTCAGTCACCTGAAAGCTCCAAAAGGTAGGCACTGTGTCTGCCACTCATTCCTGCCCCCAAATCCAGTGCCAGGGAGATGTCCTATATTATGTACTATACCATATAGTATATAACGTTATAGAACATATACGATGTTATTTAGTATATACTATTTATTATTTATATATTATTTTATATATTATAGTATATGCTACATTAAATATTGTATATAATATATAACTATTTAATATATCCTACAGTACTTATTTCTTTTTTTTTAGATTTATTTATTATGCATACTAGAGCTGGGGTACAGGCCAGAGATGCGGGGGGGGTGAGAGGATTCACCAGAGACAGAGTGGGGAGCAGAACAGGCAGACAGACTGAAATACACTACTGAGGAGAGCAGTGGGCCAGACAGAAAAGGTCTGCTTCACGATGTGGGTTTCTCTCTGGCTGGCCGGTGATCGAACTCATGCTGCCGAGGCTGCATTTTTGCTTCATAGTGCGGTGCTTAACCCCTTGCGCCACCAGGGAGGCCCTACAGTACCTATTTCTAAGACACCATCCATTTTAAGATTCAAAATTGACTTCATATTACCTTCCCAGTAAGTGTGTATAGTGAAGATATATATGTATGTATGTATGTATTCACTATACACATGTGTGTACCTACATACATATATTCACTATACATATGTACATACATATATACACTATACCGTATGTACATATAAAGTATATATGTAGATATAAAACTCTACCACATGAAAATACCATTCCTTTGGCAGACTCACCCCAATTTCATAAATGCTAATGTGTAGATAAAATATGTACATGTCTGGGGATTTATTTTTCTTCATCTCCCATCTTCCTGACCCAAATCATATTCCCCTGCACGAGAGCTCATCACATCCTTCTCATTCTAGAAACCCATCCTGATGACTTCCTGATTCCTCTACCAACACTTCGTTACAGTCTACTTTGTCTAGAGCAAATTCTCAAAGCATGAGCCCTAGGGGGACGGGACCCAGGTGTGCGAGGGGATGCAGGTGTTGTCATTACTGTTTTTCCGCCTTCCGGGCTCAGGAAAAGATGGCTGCTTTGAGGTTGGATGAAGCCATGACTAATTCTGGCCAATGAACTATGAATGGATATAGTTCATTGTCACTTCCTTGTCACTTCCTTGTCACTTCCAGGCTAGAGCACTTCAGTGACTATGCAAGAGTTCTCTTTTGCTTTTCATTGGGTGACATGACTGTTAGAGAGGTTAGCTGCTCTGGTTTTCTTTGGTGAGTAGAGACCCCTGGCCCACCCCTGGTGGACTCAATAGTATGAGAAATCAAACTTGGCTGTCAGAAACCATTGATTATTATCTGGTGGTATTTGTTACTGCAGCACATGCTAGCCGATGCTGACTGATACTGGTGGCACCTAGGCAAGACCCTGAATAACACCCATTCTCTCAACATGTAAGTTCTCCCTTCCCAGTTTTCTGCCCAGTCTTCATAGAGAAAACCTCAGGTAGGTCCTCCTGCCACCAAATTCAGCACAGGGGTGCTGTCCTATAATAAACGTGTCTGTAACACCTGCTAGCCCTTGTTAATATCTCCCCTCTCCACCAAGAGAAAGCCCTCTGCGGACTCAGAACCTGCACCAAGCAACAATATCTGTGGAGAATTTTGTGGCATTATTTGGTTGTCTCCTTTATTTATCTAAATGGCATTATCTAACCTGGCTCAGTGCCAGGTTCTCTTTGAAGCTCTGGAAGAGCACACTTAATCTTCCAGCAGCTCTCTGACATACAGGCTGTCTTCATCCTCATCTCACAAAACAGCAACACTGAGGCACAGAAGATGGAAGCTACTTGTTTACAATCATTTTTATATTTCAAGCCCTCCCCCCACGATGGGGGTTGGGAAGGGGATGAGCAGGGCGCCATGCATAGATTAGGAATCTGCATGTACACACACTAGATGACCTGTGAACTGTTTGCTCTAAATGAACTTTCCAGTCTAAGAGGCACCTGGAAGAGTGATGGCCGCCATTTCTGTCAGAGACTCAGCCATCCCAGAAGGAGTGAAGCATACAGAGCTCTAAATCCAGATGCCAGTGGAAAGGGAGCTGCCAGGGAGACAGGGCACCATAAAACTCCCAGAAGTTGTTAACTGAAGGCAGCTCACTGATAATTAACTGTCTTTGTTTAACTCACTCAAAAGTAGCCTGTTAGAGATGAGGTGTTAGAACAGTTTTCTTGGAGCATGATGCTCAGCCGTTCTCAGATTAGCTTGCTGATCTAATTAAAGCGCATCTTAAAGACTCAATTCCTTTGTCTTTTAGTTTCCACAGTTGTGGCAGGTGGGAAGAATCAGGTATTTTCTGGCAACACCCCCCCAAAAAAACCCAGATTTTCCATCTGTGGTGAGCATATAAAATAAAGCTAATTAAAAATTTTAAAAGTGAATCCTTTGAAGGAAAAATATTAAATGCTATTTAATATTATAAAATATAATACAAAATAAATAATAGTGCAGATAAATAGCAGTGTGGGGGACATTTGTACGGAGCAAAAGTCAGGGAGGTGAAATTCAGAAGCGCAAGAAGAGAAACTGCTTTAGAGACACCCAGGCTGTCACCCAGAGCAGGAGTACATCTGTTCCATATCTTACTGTTCGTCCTGGCGTTTATAAAAGTCTCCTAAGGAAGTTTTCTAGAATGAATGTGTGACTGAGAACCTAGGCTGCATCAGAGGTGGAACAGTTGGATTATCCTGCTTTGGTCTCTGTGTTTCCACACACCTTCCCCCCTGCCACTGGTGAGCACCTGTCCCACAATCTTCTTTGACTCCCTGGGTGCCCCAAGTTCCATGCAGAAGCTCTTCTTCTGGTCTTTGCTAGTCCAGCAAACTGGATCCTCAGGGCCAGGCAGGGCTAGGGTGGAGCAACAAGCCCAAGAAGGAAGGTGCCAGGTCCCTGGCCAGTTGCCAGGGAGACACCAGGGTGGAGCTGGTTGCTATGGCAATAGGAGCATCTTGAGAGGTGAAAAAAGGTGAGGGGCCTGGGCACCCCAGACTGGGTGGGATTCTGTGTGGGGCTTGGAGGCTGAGTTTCTAACTCCCTGTCTCCTCGCACCTCCTTATGTACCCCTGCAGGGCTGGCTTCTGGCCAAGAGCAGGGTCCTTCACCGGGAGTCCAAGACAGTGACCCCCGCCCATCAGTGCTGCTCTGCCCCACCCTTAGCTGTTTGCCCCCAACTCTCCCCCTCTCTCCGATGGCTGGACAGAGCACTCAGCTTCCTCCCCACCCCCCAACAATTCATTAATTAGTTTCCTTAAGCGGTTTGCAGTGCACAACAGGCTTTCTTTCCTTCCCCACCCCACACCCTCCAGGGATTTCCCAAGACCTGCGGTCCCTTCTTACACAGGGCCTGGGGGGAAGGTGGGGGAGGAGGCTAAGGCATCTGTCCTCCCGCCTCTTCCCGGCTGCTGCCATCGATCCTGCTAACCATCATCTCTGCAAAAAAAAAAAAAAGCTCTGGGCTCCCGCCAGGCCTGCTGGCTCAGCCCTCCCCCTCTCCCTAGGGTGGCTTCCAGCCTCTGCAGCCCCCCCCCCCCGCCCTGCTTTGAATTCTGCAGATATGGCTCGGCTCCGTGCAGCAGCCCCCGTCTGCCGGAAAGGGGGCAGGGAAGGAGGGATCGGAGTGGGGTTTCCTTCACCACCAGGGGCTCCGAGGAGCCCAGCTCTATGCTCTCGGGGCTGGAAGTCATCCCTATCCCCCACCCCCCCAAGCTCTCGTCGCCTCGCTCCACTGCCGGAGCAGCTCAGGGAAGGGGACTGTCAGGGGGAGAGAGAGTTTAAGCGGCTGCGTAACTGGGTTAATGGGTGCGAAATGTAAATGGTTGTGTGGCTGGATGGGGGTAGGGAGGGGCATCTTCTTGCACACCCAGGTGCGCCTCTGGGTGAGGGCTGGGAGGGTCCGGCCGTGCTACCCCATTCCTGGCCAGGAGGGCTCAGCACCCTGCCCCGGCCCTCCCCAGGCCGCCCTTCTCTCTCTGCCTCGCACTGTGGGTCCCTGTCCCCCCCGTGTCTTCTACCTCCATCCCTCCCTGTCTGTCTGTCTCTGATTTCTCTCCATGTCTCTGCAGCTCTGGCACCTGCCACCTCTCCCGACTGTCTCCGAATCTGAGTCTCACATTCTCGCACCCGACTGTCTTCCTCTCCGGGGCTCCCCGCCTCTGACCCGGGGTCTCCTGGCTCTCTGGGTCCCTCTCCAGGCTCCCTCCGGCTGTCTCTGCTTCTGTCCATCTCTTTCACTCCTTGCCCTCCCTCGCCTACCTTGTCCTCTTTCACCCCCTTCCCACCAAACCTGCCTGTCAGGGACTGCAGGGACCACCCACCCTAGGACCCAGTGCAGGAAAAAAAAGAGGGATACAGACCCCCACCCATTACCCCCCCCCCGCCCCAGGAACCTTGAAATCTTCCAGAACCGCTGACTGCAGACCCGCCAGCTCCCGCCCTGGAAGCCTGTTCCTCTCGGTCCACCACGGCCGCGGTGCTGGACCAACCACCCCGTTGCCATAGCTACCGGCCCGAGCATCCTTGCTCCCCAGCCTGCCTCGCTCCACCCGCGGGTCCCGCGCGGGCACCACGCCGGCGGGAGAGGGTGTCCAGGAAGCCCGAGGGGCGCCAAGGGGTGCGCTGCCCGGGTCTCCTCCCCGGGTGGGGGGGGAAGCGGCCTCCCCGTGCCCACTCCCCACCCTTCCAAGGCTGGAAAGTCCCCAGAGTCTCTCTCCTAAGCTCTAGGATCCCGGCGCCCCCTGCACCCCCCTGCGCCCTCTCCCCAGGCGACGCTCACCCATCGAGGGAGGCTGGGTCGGGGTCGCCATGCTGGGCTGGACGCTGAGACGGCCGAGGCGCGGCTGCAGCAGCTGGACGCGGGACGGACTGTGGTCGAGGGGGAGAGCCCTGGTGTGGGGGGCGCCGTAGCCAATGGGGGCCCGGAGAGCCCGCCCCCGTCCAGGCCGCCCCCGCCCCCGCCCACTGCCGCGTCCCCGCCCCTTCCCCGAGGGTGGGGGCGCCTCCTGGGGGGGCCTCGGGGGCTCCCCGGCGCTCGCGCTGAGGGACGGACAGACGCACAAAGCACTGGCACAGAGGAAGGCACGTTTTATTGGAAGTCTGGGCGGCGGAGAGGGGTCTGGGGGCAGGACTGGGGCGGCAGCCAGCAGTCCAGGCGGCGGGGGGCGCGCGGCGGGGGGCGGGAGGCGTCAGCTGCCAGGCGGATCCTGCGGGCGGGCGCCGGGAGGGTGAGCGGCAGGAGAGCCCCGGCCCCCCTCCGGCCCCTCGCCCCCTCCTCCCGCCCCCACCCCACCCCAGCCCCGCCGGAGCTGCAGGACCTGGCTGGGCGCCGGCGGCCAGGTGTCTCTACCGCCTGCGGGAGGACAGACCTGGGGGGCACAGAGAGCGCGGGCTTCAGCGGAGCGCCCAGGTCCTGCGGGGGGGCGGGGGGCTCCGCAGGATTCCCCGCCCGCCCTGCGGGTTTCAGACCAAGTCCTCCCTCCACGCACCCAGAGAGGCCAGGACGGGGTTCTTGGAGTCGGCCCTCACCCCCACACCCCCGCGGTCTCCCCAAACTCACGGCGGATGGAGCTGCGGAAAGTTCCCTCCTCTTCATCAGGTTCCCCAGTCCTGGAGTCCGAGAGGAGGAGGGGGTTGAGGATGCAGAAGGAGAGAGGCAGCTGGTCTCAGGAAACCCCCCGTGCCTCCCTGTTTCACCCCAAGAAGGGCTGGGGTAAGCCAAGCTATCAGGCGCTCCCAGGGGCGGCTCAAGAGCGCGGCTGGAGCTTCTCCAGCTGGCAGCAGCGAGCACCTCCCCAAAGCTGGGGAAGGGCCTGGACCTCCTGGGGGCGGGGTGACCCCAAAGATCGAGGGCAGACTGCCCCACACTGGCCTGGGTTAGACACCCCAGCTCCTCATATTCTAGGGTGATCCTGGGCAAGAAACTTTACCTCCCTGGGCTGTGCCTGGGTGTCCTCAGCGTAAGGCGAGTTCAGGACCCGCACTACCTTCCCGGGGAGGCGCGGGAGGTTGCACGTGAAACAGTGCCACGGTAGCTGGCTCGTGGGGTGCCCCCAATCGCTATCAGCCGTAGTTTTTAATAACATCTCTCCTTGGTTTACCATGGAGACAGTATTTCTCCATTGCTGGGGCTTCAGGTTTTTATTTCAAGAGGAAGCAACGAGCTGGGCTCAGGGCTCGGCTAACTGGGCCGCGGGAGCGGTGATCTCATTTCGCGCGGCTCGTTCCTTCACGGCCCTTAGCACGCTCGGCGATTCCATGTTCGGGGGGCCGCTGCCACCCACGGCCGCGCCCCCTCGGGCTGCGAGCTCGGCGGGCAGCGAGGCGCTCACTGCACCGCGGGCTCCCCGGGGCCCGGCCGGGGCTTGGCCTGAGTAAGTGCTCGACACGTGCGCTTTGCGGTCTTGGGGTGCGGGTGGGGTGGACTTCCAGCCGCACCCCCAGCGCCCCTCCAAAGCGGGGGCAGGTGGGTGAGGTCGGGGGGCCTCTTACCTCTGCTGCTGGTTGAATTTGCAGCGGCACCTTCTGCCTGCGGGGGGACAGGGGGCGAGGCTGAGGCGGCTCCCGCGCCCGGCGCCGCGCGGCGCTCTCGCTCCAGCGCGCGGGCAGGGCAGGGGCGGGGCGGGCCCGAAGGGGAGAGGCGAGGAGGGGCGGGACTGGGCGAGGCTGGGGTGGAAAGTGACGCGGGCCGGCGGGGAGGGGGACTCACTCAGCACGATGAGGATGCCCAGGATGAAGAGGACTCCCGCAATCGTGAGGCCTCCGATGCGCAGGGACTTGTAGTCTGGGGGGGAGCAGGGAGGGTGGAGGAGAGCAGGATGGGCAGGGAGGAGTAGGGGTGAAGGACCAGGGAGAAAAGAGAGGACGTCAGTGAGAGGACAGGGAGCTGGTATGGGAGGAGGTAGGGGGAGCACCAAGGGTGGGGAGGAGGTGGGCTGGGCAGGGAGGACGGAGAAGCCAGGAGATGGGGTGGGGGGAATGGAGGGGGCGACAGGGAGAGGAGAAAGGGCAGGTGTTGGCTGAGATGGGCCGCAAGACAGAGATATAAGAGCAGAGATCAGAGCCAGAGAGGAGTGAAACAGAGACAGAGACACACACAGAGAGAGACAGAGACACACAGAGAGATACAGAGAAACAGACCAGGGGATATCAAGACAGAGCGAGCCAGATGGAGAGCAGAGGAGACTGACAGGGATCTGTAAACAGTGCGACTCAGAGAGATAAAAACATGGAGAAAGAGAGAAATGAGGACAGCCAAGCCCTGCACCCCCAAACTCAACTCCCCAAGCGAGGCACACGCCCCTTCTCCCTCACCATAAGTGAACGGGTCATGTTCCTGTGGAGCTTCTGGGAAAAGAGAGAGAAATTGGGTGTTTGGATTCTTCCTGGGGTCCCGGACAAGGAGGGGTGTAAAGAGACTCTTTTGGGGTGCTACCTTTCTGGGCTGGGCATTTGGGGGCTGTTGGACCCTGAGCAGTCTGCCCGTGCTCTCACGGTCTTTACTGTCCACTCTGCTCTGTCCTGGGTGGGGTAGGGCTTATCTGTGATTCCACCATCCAAGGGAAGCCAGTTTCCACCCCACTCTCAGGCTGGGCCTGACCTGGGGCACCTGCTTCCCTCCCCCCAATACCAGCTTGTGACAGAACCTCACATAAAATCCCCAATTTCCTGGCACCACGACTGATTCAGCTTAGTTGGAGTCTCCAACTTAGTGCTGAAGGGCTTCCTGTCCGCCACCCTCGGGGCTGAGTGTGTAGCGGGCTGCCAGACTCACCTGCCTTGGCCACGGTGACAAGGCCCACACAGAGAACCAAGATGTGGCTGAGGAATGCCATTATCCTGGGGGACACCAAGGGTCAGGGAATGTGTGACCTCACCACCCTCCCACCTCCATGGGGGCCTGAACCCAAGTGGTTAAGTCAGAGAGGTTGAAAAACAACTCCAGAAGTCAGCCACCAGCTTGGCCACCCGAGAGGCGGGGGCACCCTCACGTCATGGGGACAAGGTGTCACCAAAACCACCCACACTGCAGGGGTCACAGCAGCACAGCACGGCGAGGGGGGGTGTGAGACACAGCCCCAGGCCTGGGCCTCCCCCGAAGCGGGTCCCAGATTCCCACACCTACCCTACTGGACCTTGCCTCACCCAGGCGGAGAGTCAGGCTCACTGCAAGAGCCAGCCTGCCAGGACACGCCCAAGGGCCCACCTGCCCGCTCACCGTGGCCGCGCCGTGTCCGACCAGCCCGGCTCTCCTGCCCTCGGCAACCGGCCCGCTCTCTGCCTGACCCTGGGTATAAATATCTCCCACTTCACCCTGGAGGAATTTGCCTCACACAGGCCTCCATGGCAACAGCCTTCCTTCCCCCACTCGGGGGTCAAGCTCAGCCCTGCAGGGCTGAGGCCAGACTGCTGTAGCCCCACAGGCTGCCCTAGGGGGAGCAGCCACACCTCTCCTCTCCTGGAAGCCACGAGAAAAGGGGAAGACACCCCTTCCGCCCTCCTGGGAGTGACATCTTTCAGGAGCAGACAACGCCCGCCCGGGGTGACATGAGGCCCAGGCCAAAGGAACCACTGAGAGGCAGAAGACAAGACAGTTGCTAGGAGCAGGGACACACCAAGTGTGCACACATGTGCACACACACACACACACACACAGAGACAACCGCAGTGGGACAGCGCCCACTCCCTAAACTTTTGGTTCGGAGCAAGACACGGGATATAGACACCTCATCTGGGCCTCGGTGTCCCCAACAGTGGCGGAACCAGGCCTGCCCATGTGAGGGTCCAAAGCCCACCCCAGCGGGGTGCACAGCAGCAGCTGAAAGGGAGGAGACCACCCCCACCCCCACCCCTGGGGGACCCAGCGTCCCAACGCTCTCTCCCTTCCTCCTGGGTCTGGCCTGCCTGGGAAGCCACGGGCTGGCCACTCCTGCTCCCAAAATAGGCGGCCCAGCCCAGCGTGCGGCCTGGAGGGGAGGGGCGGGGGACGCTCACCCCAATCAAGTTGTCCCCTGCTGAAAGAAGGCCCCCAAGCGTCCGGCTGTGCCCCTAGGCCTAGCACTTTGGACCCCCAGGTCCAGAACTGGACGCCCCGCTCCAGCGGTCTCCCCTCCCAGCCCCACCCCGGCCTTGCCCTCCCCAACCAGCAGCTGTAACTGGAGCCGGGGCTGGAGGGGGGCCAGGGGGCGGCCCCCAGCCCAGACCGCCCTGGCCCGCTAGGTTAACTCTCTCAGCTCAGATGGGGGAACAGCAGGCGCTGGCCTGGAGAGCTGGGGAGGGGAGGTGCTGGCAGGCAGGGCTCGGGAGAACTGGATCGTGGGCGTGCACGAACACACACTCACCCAACCTGGGAGCCTCCAGCCGGCCCATGGGGAGCCCCGTGCTGGGCTGGGAGGGTGAATGTCCACTGCTTTCTGCTCTGCTCGTAGGACATTGGGACCTAAGGTCACCTGGCCTGAGGGCTCAGGACCCCACCAGCCCCCCCCTACCCCAGTGTTCTGCTGAGCCCAGGTCAGGACTAGCAGCTGCTTAGAGGACACAGCAGCGTGCAATGTGTTGTCTGTGCCAGCTGTGAGGTCCCCTGGGGAACACACACACACACACACACACACACACACCCAAAGGCCCGAGCAAACCAGCACAAAACCAGACAAATACACATACACACATACATGGCAACACACAGACAGACACACACACAGAATTACACACCCACAGAGAAGCCCAAACACAAACGCGCAGCCGGCACCCCTGCACGAGTCACAAGACCCAAGACAAGCACATTGCGTGTGCACATGCATCAAGAGGGAGGCCGTGGGAGAGACAGACCGACACACAGACACACGGCTGCACGCCAGCCGCTCTTACTCAACACAGGCAGACACACACATATGGTCATACCTCAGGCCTGGGCGCAGGTGCACAGCTGGCCACACAACCACGGACCCACACACTGTGTTCACACACTCCAAGGCCCCACCAAAGGTGCATAGACGCGTGGCACCCCAAATCTCGCACTCCCTTGCTCACATGGCCTCTTGGACCCCCAAGGACCACACACACCTGGCGTCCTCCGGGCAGGCCAGGCCACAGCCTCTGGTGACAGACACCTGGTCAGGCCTGCGCTCCGCCGCTCGGGCTGTGTGACCCTGGGGAGCCCATGTGGCTTCTTGGGGCCCGTTTCCTGTCCTGGGAAGTGGAGAAATCTAAGGTCATGCATGTGACCTAGGCCAGATTGGGGGCCGCTGACCCGACATTGTCTTATTATTAACTCCCCTGTGGAGAGACCAGTGAGCAGAGCTTAGCCGGGAGGAGCTCCCCCTAGTGGCTAAGGACAGCGAGGAGGAGCAAGTGGTTGTGCTCACACTCGGACATGAGTGCGCGCACGTGCTTGTGCAAACACACGCACTTGAGCTTGGCCGTAGAGCACGTAGGTGCATCACTGTCTGTCTGAGCCTCTGCCTCCCTGCCCTGTGGCCCAGGGTCACCAGTGGCCCCTATTTAACCTTGATTTGTATGTGGTTCTGGGAGGGGTGACAGGGGAGCGAGGGTACAAGTGGGGAGGGGCCCTGGCCAGCCCTAGTCAGTCCCCAGAGTGGAGAGGCTCAGCTGCTTTCCAGCCATGTGATGTGGGGCAAACTAACCTTCCTGTGGCTCAGTTTCTCCTGTGAAAACAAGAGAATCATCGTGTTCTCCTCAGAGGGAGGATGGAAGGACCGTCTGAAATTAGCCAGGGAAAGCAGCTAGCACAGGGCCTGGCACACAGTAAGTGGGCAAGAAAAAGAAGTTAGTACGGCTGTCCCCCTGTCCTGTCCTGTCTCCTTACTGTCACCGGGAGTGCTGGGTGCTCTGTGAGTGTGGCTCCAGGCCTATCCGGGCCCCCTTTTTGTCCTTGTCTTTTCAATGACTTATTCCCTCTATAGCAGAGATGACCGAGTTCTGCAGGGCCTTGCTCAAATCACAGAGCTGTTGGGGTACAGGACAAGTCTTTGGTGCCCCCCGCCCACCTGCTGACCGCCACGGGGGCCCAGCTTGCACAGTCCCCAAGCAAGGGACACTGCCTCATCACCTCCCCAGGTATCCTACACTCCTAGGAAGTGCTGCCACCATTGCTCTTTTGGCAGATGGGAAAACTGAGGCTCAGGGTGGCCGAATGTCTCGGAACCCAGTCTGTGTGACCACCATCCAAGCTGGCCCTGTGAAGCCCACCATACCCCCTGCCCCCGCAGAAGTGGGAGGAGACTTGTGCTTGCCTTGGGGCAGGGGTGCATGGCTACATCCAGATCTGCCCCGTGGATGCCATGAAACAAATCGCTTACCCACCCTATGCCTTAGTTTCCCCATCTATAAAATGGAGATTAGCTGCACTACCCGCCCCGGAGGATTGCTGTGCGTTCTGAGTGAGTAAATGCACGTGAGGACTGGCCCACCATAACAGCTCGATAAATATGATCACTACTATTCCAGGCTGGGGAGCAAGTGTCATTTGTTTATCTTATTTAGTGGCCGAAATCCATCCAAATTGCTAAAAGCTTAGTCCAGAAAACAATCAATATCTGTGAGTTCTGTTCTCCAATGAAAGAATGCAAGATCACATGCAAAAGCCCTGAAGCCAGCTGCCGGAGTCCTGGCTCTGCCCCAGATGGGTAACCTAGACCTCAAATTACTTGACCTCTGTCCTCAGTTTACCTCCATCTGTAAACCAGCCATATGATAGCATCATCCTCAGAGGACCAGAGTGCAGTCAGAATGAGCTCATAGATGAAATTTTAGGAGGGCTGGTACAGAGTCAACACCGAAGATGGGGGTGGCGGCAGCGGCTTGGTCACGAATGGCAGGCGTGCAAGGGGTTAATTTCAGGGCCAGCCAGAGAGGGTGTGGGCTTGGGGCAGGACAGCTGCCACACCGGGCATGGCCACCAGAGGGAGCCGCTGGCCCTGAGATGGCCCCCTGCTAAGCCTAGCTGGCAGCACCCACCACACCCTCCTAGAGTCAGGGGAGGGGGCTGGCTGGGAGCGGCCGGGATGGCTCCATCCCCTCCAGTGGCCTCTCCTCCCACCGCCTCCTGCTTGCAGAGCCCCCTGGTCCCCACCCTAGTTACAGCCTCCGCACAGTCACTGGCTCTGGCCAGGGCCAGGAGGCTGGGGAGGGGGCTGGCTGGGCGTGGCCCGAGGTCACCAGCCCTGGTGGCTCCTCCCCTCCCCCGGGGCCTTCTCGTTCTCTGCCCGAGGCGGCTCTTCCTATGGCCTCTGACCCCCTCCTCCTTAGCCTGCCTCGCTGGGGCTCCCAATGCGCTGTGAATCCCGTTCCCAAACCTCCAGGGACAGGGGGCGTGGGAGGAGGGGCAGAAACTTAGAGGGAAGTGGAGAGAGGGGGTAGGAAGGCGAGAAAGCAAGACACAGGGCAGGGAGACACACAGACACACACACACAGAGGCCCACAGGGACGGGGAGACCGACCGAGGCAGCGAGAGGAGTAGAGGCAGAGGGGAAACTCCCTGAGTCAGGGGTGCAGAAAGAAGACAGCCAAAGAGAGGGAAAGCGAAGTAAGCCGCAAGCTCGAGGCCAGAGATACAAGAAAGACAGACTGGAAAAGCGGCGAGAGTGAGGAGAGGAGCCAGCCCGCGCGTGCCAGCTGGCGGCATGGAGGGGCGCCCGGCCTGGGCCATGTAGTGGCAGCAGGTTGCCGAGCTGGGTGGGCAGAGAGAAGCGGGTACCTCTGCAGGGGTGAGGGGGCATGGGAGGGGCAGGCATTTTGCTGCTGCTGCTGCTGCTGGTAGGGGCCGGGGCGGGGGCAGCCTGGAGACCCCCAAAGGGGAAGTGTCCTCTGAGCTGCTCCTGCTCCAAAGACAGCGCCCTGTGCGAGGGCTCCCCGGACCTGCCCGAGAGCTTCTCCCCGACCCTGCTGTCACTGTGAGTGTCGGGCCCTCCGTGGGCCCGAGGGGGTGGGAGTCCTGGGACCTCGGGTGGGGGGGGCTGGGGCCCATCAGCATCTCAGGAAGTGGGCAGCAAAGGATGTTGGGATCCCTGAAAGGGGGCTGCTGGGATTTGGAAGGGAGTGAGAGGGAATTTCAGAGGGCAGGGGCAATGTTTGGGGTCCTGGAGGAGGCACAGCGGGGAGGGGGTGCTCAGTGCTGCCAGGCTCCCTGCCAAGCTGGGGGGTGAGGACCTGTCTCCCCTGGGATGGAAGGGCAGTACCCCCGGGTCTGGGTGGCATCCCAGGGCCCCCCAGACAGGAGGCCACTGGCACATTAGAGCGGTTTTCTCCTCACCCACCACCACCCTCCACGTCCCCAGCTCCCTGGTCAGGACCGGGGTCACCCAGCTGAAGTCCGGCAGCTTCCTGAGGATGCCATCTCTGCACCTGCTGTGAGTGCCCCGACTGCTCGAGGGGCCTGGGTTCGTGCATGTGTGTGTGCAGGTGTGCACATGTGTGCACATGCGTGTTTGTGGCCGTGTACTTTGGGCTGGGGGTGGGGCCGAGGTTAAATGTCAGATTGGGTGCAGCGACTATGAAAGCATTTCTTTCTCGCCCCCTTGCCAGCCTCTTCACATCCAACTCCTTCTCCGTGGTTGAGGATGATGCCTTTGCCGGCCTGTCCCACCTGCAGTACCTGTGAGTGAGGCGCGGGGGTGGGGGCAGGACTGAGGGCCTCAGAGTAGGGGGAGGCAGGGGCGTGTCGCCCTGGACCAGGGTCCCTCCTGGCTCAGGGGCTTCTGTGTCATCTCAACCTGCTCACCTGCCGGCTCAGTGCTCAGGACCCACGAAGGAGCTGGGTCACCCGAGACTATATTGCCCTTACCTGACTGTGGGAGTCCAGGGAGGGTGCACAGAGACTAGACAGAGGAGATGTCTCAAATTAACAGGTTTGAATCGGGGGCTGGCGGTGGTGGTATTAGTGGTGGTGGCAGAGGTGGTGGTATTGGTGGCAGCGGTGATGGTGGCAGTGGTGGCATTGGTGATGGTGATGATGGTGGTATTGGTGGTGATGGTGGTGGTGATGGTGGTGGCATTGGTGGTGATGGTGGTGGTCTTGGTGGTGGTGATGGTGGTGGTATTGGTGGCATTGGTGGTGATGGTGGTATTGCTGATGGTGGTGATGGCGGTGATGATGGTGGCATTGGTGGTGGTGATGATGGTGGCATTGGTGGTGGTGATGATGGTGGCATTGGTGGTGGTGATGATGGTGGCATTGGTGGTGGTGATGATGGTGGCATTGGTGGTTGTGATGATGGTGGCATTGGTGGTGGTGATGATGGTGGTATTGGTGGTGATGGTGGTATTGGTGGTGGTGATATTGGTGATGGTGGCAGTGATGGTGGTATTGGTGGTGGTGGTGATGGTGGTATTGGTGATGGTGGTGGTAATGGTGGTATTTGTGGCGGTGGTGGTATTGGTGTTCGTGATGGTGGTGGTGGTAACAGCATGACCATGCTAGCATCAGTGGTGATGTTGATAACAGTGTCTGGTGATCCTGTCGCTACTCTTCATGGAGAAATGGCATTATTGAGGATGATGGAGTGGGGATGATGTTGATAAATATGCCAGACCCAATGGTGATGTTGTATTGGCGATGCTGATAATGGAGTTGGATATGATGAGGGGTTGGTGTTATGATAATTAGATGTGTTGAGGGCATCAGTCATTATGGTATGGGTATTGATGTTGGTGATGGCTGTGGGTAGATGTTGGTGCTGGTGTCAGGGCAGTGTCATTGGTACTGAATTTGGTGGCAATGGAGGAAGTGCTGATGTGTGTTCATCATGGCTGGTCGTGAATGAAGATGTGAGTGTTGGGAGGACGGGGTGCTGCTGGTATTGGCAGTGCTGGTGCCAGTGCCACTGCCGCTGCTGCTGCTAGTGGCAGTGTTGGTGAAGATGGTGTCTGTCGTCTTCGTGTTGACCATGAGGGCTGTGTTGCCGGTGTGGGATCTGGTGATGATGGCCTTAGTGTTGACGATGGAAGTGGAAGGTGATGGTTTTGGTGACAGTGGTGGCCACGATGGTGGTGACATGGTATGGTATTGGTGATTATGGCCATCACGGGTTCCGGGGTTGGTGATGGTGGCAGAGGTGTGGATGTTGGTCACTTGGATGGCGGTGTTGGTAGACACAGTGCTAGGGCTGGCGTTGGTGAGCACCGTGGTGCTGTCAGTGTTTGCTGTGAGCCTGGCCATGGCTGAGGGTCAGGCTCTCGGCTCCAGGGGATTGTGGACTAGGACCTTGGTGAGGCGAGGATTCAGGGAATGCTTCCCCTGGGGTCACGCAAGGTGCTGGGGGAGAATTCAGCAGGTTCCAGAGTCCTAAGATATCCATGGGGGAGTGACCTCAAGTACTGTGGGAGGGGACACAGGGCTCTCCCCTTATCCCCCTCCCTCCACAGCTTCATCGAGGACAATAAGATTGGCTCCATCTCCAAGAACGCCCTCAGAGGACTTCGCTCACTCACACACCTGTGCGTGTCTCCCAGGTCTCACTCCTCCACCGCCCTGCCCACCCTGCCCGCACCCCACACCCCATCACCCAGGGACTTGGGGTGTCTAGTAGTTGCTGATGGCGCCTCCTCCTTCTCCCCTCTCACCAGGAGCCTGGCCAACAACCAGCTGGAGTCCCTCCCCAGATTCCTGTTCCGAGGTCTGGAGACCCTGACTCATGTGTGAGGCTCAAGGGGGCTGGGTAGGTGGTTGGGTGGGATTTGGGGATGTGTGGGAAGGGAGGGGACAGCATGTCCATTTGGGGCCGGCAGCATTGGCTGGTGGCTGTGGTGCTTCTGAAGCACTGTTCACCCCGTGCGTGGGGCCCTGTCTGAGCCCTCGCTGGGGAGGGGCAGGGATGGTGCCCCCGGGGTGGTGGAGGGTCACAGCCCCACCCTGCCTCTTGCCCCAGGGACCTCCGCGGGAACCCGTTCCAGTGTGACTGCCGAGTCCTCTGGCTGCTACAGTGGATGCCCACCGTGAACGCCAGCGTGGGGACCGGGGCCTGCGCGGGGCCCCCGGCGCTGACCCACATGCAGCTCCGCCACCTGGACCCCAGGACATTCAAGTGCAGAGCTATAGGTGGGGGCTTTCCCAGCGGGGTGGGAGGGACAGCAGGGGTTCCTGGGAGAAGGCAGGAGATGGGGGAGTGGCAGCTGGCATCACGGGGCTCGCTGCACTCCTTGCTCTGCCATTTCCTGGCTGTGAGACCCCCAACTCGGCAGCATGGCCTCCCTGAGCCTCAGTTTCCTCATCTGTAAAGCAGGGACAATAAACAGTCACATAGGCTTGTGTGTGCGAATCCAGTGATGCTCGGGCCTGGGTGACGAGGGTGCCCTGTAACTAATACTCTTGTAATTAATACAAACCTCACCATTTTAAATCTGTTTCCTATGATCATTTTGCCTTTCCATAAATATTTTCTACTCCCTTTTTGGGCATCGGGCAGTGCGGGGGGCACTGCAGTGTTGAGGACCCCTGGGTTCTGCTCTAACAGGACCCTCAGACCAGGGGAAGGCAGAGATGATGACCCAGAGAGGAACAGGCCAGAAAGATAAGGACAAGGATGGGGGCAGCCCAGAGTTGGGGAGTCCAGAGCCAGTCAGGAGGGCTTCCTGGAGGAGTGGACATTTGAATTCACATCTGAAAGCTGTGAATATTAGCAGCTGCAGCAGCACCTGTGTGTAAGACTCATTTTTGTCTGTGGGACTCACAGGATGAGAGAATTTAACTTAGGGCTTATTTCTCTTAGTGATTCAACCGTCATCCGCTGAGGTCCTGTCTGTGCCAGGCCTGTGAGGGGCGATGCCCATGCTGCACTGATCAAGATAGCCCCGCGCCCTGGTGTTAGGGGTACAGCCCTAGTGGTGAGGAAAAGATGCTAAATACAGCATCACACAAATAGGTGTATGTTACCCATTCTGACCAATACAGGGGCTGCTGAGGGAGTAGCTCGCTCTCCATGGGGTGTGGACGAAATCTGCTCTGAAGAGGTGGCATTAGATCTGCGTTTAGCTGGGAGAAAGAAGACAGAGAGTGCCCAAGACAGGGGCACAGCATGTGCAATGGTCCTGTGGCTGCAGATAGAGCTTGTCCTCTTTGAGGGTCAGCAGAAGGCACATATGAATTGGGGAGCGAGTGAAGGAGAAGACTCAGCTGCGGGGAAGGTGATAGGAAGGGGCTGCATCCTGCAGGGTTTTGAAAGCCACAGAGAGGGGCTGGACTTTATCTTGAGGACTGAGGAGCACTAGCAAAGGTTTGAGGCAGGGGGTGATATGTTTGATGGTGCTTTTTAAAAGATCCCTTTTGGGCGGGCATCCTCGGTGGCTGGGTTCGTTGTGCAGTGAAGCCTGATAACCTGCAGACCTCCTCTGGCTCCAGCACCCCCAGCTGAGCGCCCTTGGCTCATTACCGTAAAAGTTAAGTGGCTGCAACAGAGGCTGAAAATACCATGAATTACGGCAGGTGGTCTGAGGGGAGCGGTCCTGGCACATGCAGCAGCCAGCCCTGGGCATCCTTCTGGTTTGAAGTTGGTTGAAGTTAGGCATGGCCACATGCCAGTTATGAGAAAGTGGGGAGCGACCAAGCCCTGGATGAACTGTTTTCACGCAGGCAAGGAGAGCAGGGGAGCTTGGACAGAAATGGCCGCACCTAACTGGGATGGAGGGGGTGCTGGAGGGGGTGCTGAAATGCTGTGGCTTCCAGCTGGGCAGCTGTGTGCCCGGACCCATCCTAGTGCATGGAGATGCAGGGGTGGGCTTTGTTGGACAGCTGGCCGCCAGCTAGTCGTCTTCCCTTGTCTGTAAAGTGGGCGTCGCCATGGAGCGTACCTCAGGCGTGGTGTGGAATTGAACCAATCAGTCAATATGCTCTTTCCAAGCAATTGTTTAATGACACAGCTTAGAAAATAAAGTATGAACATGTGGTTGGGAGTGAGGGCAACAAAATGAAGATTGTTCTCTGTCCCCACCAAGGGGACCACCATGACCGTCCTCATTTCAGAGCTGTGCAAACTGAGGCTCAGTGATGAGGACCCTGGGGTCCCCAGGCCTGGCTGACTCTCTCCTGCCACCCCCAGAGCTGTCCTGGTTCCAGACCATCGGGGAGTCGGCGCTGGGAGTGGAGCCTTTCTCCTACCAGGGGGAGCCCCACATGGTCCTGGCACAGCCCTTTGCTGGCCGCTGCCTGATCCTCACCTGGGACTACAGCCTGCAGCGCTTCCGGCCTGAGGAAGAGCTGTCCGGTGAGCTCCAGAGCCCATCCCACCCTCCCTCCTGCCCCAGGGAGCTTGCCTGGCGGCCTGACCAGCCCTGCTCCCCACTCCTTCCCAGCGCCCTCCGTGGTGTCCTGCAAGCCGCTGGTGCTGGGCCTGCGCCTCTTCGTGCTGGTCGCCCGCCTCTGGGGAGGTACGCAGCTGTGGGCCCGGCCCCGCCCCGGCCTGCGCCTGGCCCCCATGCAGGCCCTGGCCCCCCGGCAGCTGCTGCGGCCCAATGACGCCGAGGTCCTATGGCTCGAGAAGCAGCCCTGCTTCGTCGTGGCGGACGCCTCCAAGGCGGGCAGCACCACCCTGCTGTGTCTCGAGGGGCCTGGCTTTTACCCGCGACAGAGCCTGCACGCCTGGCACCGCGACACGGACGCCGAGGCCCTGGAGCTGGACGGCCGGCCCCACCTGCTGCTGGCCTCCGCCTCCCAGCGGCCGGTGCTCTTCCACTGGTCCGGGGGCCGTTTCGAGAGACGCACGGACATCCCTGAAGCCGAGGACGTCTACGCCACACGCCACTTCCAGTCTGGTGGGGACGTGTTCCTGTGCCTCACACGCTACATCGGGGACTCCATGGTGAGTCGGGCTGACCTGCGGCTGACGCCCCTCCCCACCCCCCCACACGCACAGGGCTGGCTTTTCAGGATGACCACCCAGTGCACGCCCGGCTTTCCCCACTCACCCCACCTTGCACCCTGGCCTCTCCACACTACTCGGTCTCCCAGGCTGACCTCTAAACTCTGCCCCCGCCCAATGTGCCAATCCTTGAACTCTGACCCCACCCCAGCACTAACTCCAAGACTTACCCCTCCAAGCTGGCTGACCCTTAATTACTCCCCCAAACCCCACCACTGAAGCCAACCCCAACATTTTGAATCTACCCACAAATTCAGACACTAATACTCCGACTCACGCCAAAACTTTAACCACAAGCACACAGGTGAACCCCCAGGGCTGATGGCCCACCCCTTCCAACACCCTTTCTGGAGTGAGGTGTAGGGCTCTGAGGCTGGAAGGCACTGAAGGTGTTCGCACGGTGAAGTGTGGGGGCAGAAGCAGGAGCGGGGGTGCCAGGGAGGAAGCTGCTGTGATGTCCAGGACGGATGTGGTGGGAGTGCCTCAGAGGAGGTGGGGGAAATGAATACCAGCACAGGGCAAACCCAGAGTCCACGCCAGGGATTGTGTGTCGGTGTGAAGGAGAGAGAAGGGTCAAGAAACGACTCTGAGTTTGTGAACAGCTGGGAGGTGACATTTAGGAAGACACGAAAACTGCAGGAGTTAGGGGCTCTGCTTCCGAGCTGTTTCAATCCTCCAAAGCCTAGAGTAGGGTGGTGGGCCTGGCCCCGCCTCCAGGGCCTAACATGCGGCCACGCTTTGCAGGTCATGCGCTGGGACGGCTCCATGTTCCGCCTGCTGCAGCAGCTCCCCTCCCGCGGGGCCCACGTCTTCCAGCCACTGCTCATTGCCAGGGACCAGCTGGCTATTCTGGGCAGCGACTTCGCCTTCAGCCGGGTCTTTCGCCTTGAGCCCGACAAGGGGCTCCTGGAGCCGCTGCAGGAGCTGGGGCCCCCCGCCTTGGTGGCCCCCCGAGCCTTTGCCCACGTCACCACGGCTGGCAGACGCTTCCTCTTCGCTGCTTGTTTCAAGGGGCCCACACAGATCTACCAGCATCATGAGTTAGACCTCAGTGCCTGAGGCAGAGGGAACTGGAGGTGGCTGGTGGGAAGCAGGCTCGGAGGGTCCTAGGCCTCTGCACGCCCCTTTTACTGGCCCTTTTGAGGGAGACAGCTGGTCCTCTGAGTCACTGATTGCAGACCAGGTGTAAGGCAAGAGCTAGCTGCCCTTCCAGTCTAAAGTAACACCTTGGCAGGTTCCCCCACCAAGGGTGACCTGGGGCTCAGCCTGGGACACTGCACAGAGCCCGAATGCAGAAGCTAGGGTGGGGGTACTGTGCAGAACCCTATGAGATCTGGCAGCGTGCCCCACGTCCCAGCTCCTGCTCCAGGGGAAAGCACTGAGGAGGACTTGGCTTCCTTTCGCCCCTGCGCTCAGCCCGGCCAATCGCGTTCAGGGCCCGCCTCCGTGACGTCACTGGTTGCTGGGCAGTTTCTCAGCTGGGCTTGGGACCTTCCTCTGCTGCTTATGGGCCTGCCAGCTGCCCAGGCCCAGCCCTGAGGGTCGTCCTCTTGCACAAGCGCAGGAAGTAGGTGGGGTACCCGGATCCCTGGTTCCCCTCCTCGAGGGTGACTGGGGAGAAGACAAGAAAGTGTGTGAGCTCAATAAACGCGCCGTTCATCCGCCCCCATCGGTTTTTGTGAGCTCATTGGGAGGGGTGCCTCATGACAACCGGCAGGGAGCCCCAGAAGTTGTATCAGGGAGCTAGGGGGTGTATTTTAGCTGTTTGTAGTGAACAGGGTCTCTAAGTCGTGGACTCGTGATTATCAGGAGCCTCTGGGATGTTGGAGACATAAAGACATTAAGGAACAGGTCACAGGTTTATCGTGGGTGTTCTTGGGGTCACATCTGGGTACTGTAGGAGATAATCTTGAAGGGTTTTATGGGGTGGCTCATGGGGATATTTTGGAGCTCTTACTAGGCATAAGGGAATCTCAGGGCTGGGGAATGATCTAAATGCCTAATAGGGACGTTTGGGCATTAGGTAGGGTCTTCTCTGATAAAGTGGGATCTTGGGGTGACTGGGAGGGTTTTGGGTGCTCTGTAACCATAAGCTATCTGGATACTCATGCTAGGATCATCCTCACCCGTTTTCCTGCGGTGGCCCCAGTGTTGCTCTGCTTAGAGCTCCCTGGCACTCTCAAAAGTGCAGAGCTCACCATGCCGTCCACCAAACCACCAGAGAACAGGCCTGGGGCTTTTCCAACAGAAACTCAGATGCCAGCTTCTGTACCAGCCCCCCGCCCCCCCGCTTCACATCCACCTTCTGCTGACCCCCCAAGCCCACCGCAGTGCCCACATAGGGAGTCTCGAGGCTGTTTAGGCAGGAGGCAAGACTGTTTATTTATTTTTGAGATTTCTTTTAATTATTTATACAAGAACAGGGGTACAGGTCAGATGTGTGGAAAAGTGAAAGGATTCATCAGAGACATACTGAGGAGCAGAACAGGCAGACTGACTGAAATACACTGCTGAGGGGAGCAGAGGGCGAGTCAGGAGAGGTCTCCCTGGGCAAGACTGATTTAGATTAAAAAAAAAAAATTGAGCAAAGAAATGCCGCTTCAAGGTGAGGTGGACAAGTTCCTGGCAAGACAATCAGCGGGGAGGAGGGGGAATTCCATCCCGGTTCCAGCTCCGTGCTGCGTCACGACATAGGGAAAGTAGCTAGCCAGCTGTTCCTCTGTCTATCCATGTTCTTTTTTCTTTTTTTCCAATCCTACCCTCATAGGCTTCTAGCATTTTATTTATTTATTAAAGATTCATTTATTTATGCAAGAGCTGGGGCACAGGTCAGAGGCGCGGGAGGGTGAGAGAATTCACCAAGACAGAGCAGGGAGCAGAACAGGCAAAAGAACATAATGAACATCAGGGGAGCAACTACTGTAGTGTGGGGGAGTTGCTCCCCTACACTACTGAGGGGAGCAACTGGCGAGACAGGAGAGGTCTGCTGCACCACGTGGGAATCTCCCTGGCTGGCTGGGAATCGAACCCGCGCTGCAGAGGCTGCGGACAGCTTCACAGCACAGCGCTCAACCCACTGCGCCACCCGGGAGATGGGGATGGATGAGAGGCCCCATCCATGTTCTTATCAGTCCTCAACAGTTACTTGCAGAGCCTAGGAGAGGTGATGGAATCAACTTGTGAGAACGGATGAGTTCTTTCCAGAATTCATGCATGCACTCACACACACACACACACACACACACACACACACACACTCTCCCATCTGTGCTCCCGCAACCCCATTCTGTCCTGTCTTACCTGGAGTGATGAGTGGTGGGCCTTGGCCTGACCGGTGGCTGGGGAAGTAAAAGCAGTGACGTCTGAGGCCACCCCCATTTGCCCTCTCCCCCCAGGGCTAGAGGATTCTTGCCTGCCCTCCCCAGGTTCTTGGCTCCCTTTCCATCCTGGGGTTTGATTAACCCAGGACAATAGTATCTCAGGATTCAGAGCTCTCTGAGGAGTCTCAGCTCTGAAGACTCAAGGGGGGGGGGCGGTCCCCCCACCCCAACCAGTGACAGAGCCCTGGGCCACGCCAGATGCTGAGGATGTAGCTCTCTCACTCCTGCAAGGGGAGGCAGACGGAACACCTCACCTGGGCTTCTGTCTGAACTTGCATTTGCATTTCCCACCTGTTGGGGCAGAAGAGGGAGCTCAGGAGGTGGGACGCCAGCCCAGCCCTGCCCTGCCCTGCCCGCCCCCTCTGGCCCGTCCACTCACTCAGGAGGACGATGAAGCCCGTGGCGCACAGAACCCCTGCGCAGATGAGGCCTCCGATCCGGAGTTTCTTCCAATCTAGGAGAGACCAGAGGGGCCCTCAGTGCATGCCTGCAACCCCTCACCCGTGCCCTAGACTGGCAGGGGCTGGGCATGTGTGTGGGCAGGCACTGGGGGTGCAGCAATGGGGAGAAGAGACAAACCCCAGGTCTCTGTGCCACGTGATTGTTTACACAAGGACAAGAGACCTACAGCGGGTCAGGTGGAGATAAACAATCTGAAAGCAAACAGGGTGGGGGACAGAGCTGAGGAACAATGTGAGGAACAATGGTAGGCCGGCCCCTCTGAGGGGCTGCCCTCTGGCACAGACCGAGGTGGGGGGCCCTGGGATCCTAGGGAAGGACACGCTCCAGGCAAAGGGATCAGCAAGTATGGAGGTCAGGGCCCTGGGCTGGCCAGAGAGTCCCTGCTGTGGGGGGTGGGGGTTGTGGCCTGGGCACAACCAAGGTGGGAGCAAGGGGGAAGGGTTGAGGGGTGAAGGGCCTTCTCTCAGCCATTGATCTGAACCGCAGCAGCAGTGTCTGGTAACTCATCCTCCTTCCCGTGTGTCTCTCTTGCTGGTCTAGAATCTTCCCAAGCCCCAGGATGCACCTTCCGTTCCTTTCGACCACACTGACCATTCAAAGCCCGGAGCAGCCCCTTGCTATGGGTGTTCCCGTTTTGCCCCCATCGGACTCACCCGGTCCTGGAACCCTTGGCCGGAAATGATTTAGGATGAGGGACGGGGGGGGGGGGGGGGGGGGGGCGCTGGTTCTCACCATAGTAGAAAGGATTGTCTTCCTCTTCGGCTGCAGGGAAAGGAAAAAGAACATGAATCCAGGGTCCCAGGCGGAAGTTGGGAGTGGGGCGGGTGGAGGAATCAGGTCTCACCTTCTGGGTTGTTGGCGTTCATGGCATTCAGGCCTGGTGGGGAGAATGGGGGGAGGGTGGTCTCAGCAAAGGTGTGGGCAGGGCCACAGAGCCTCAGGGGTCAAGGAAACCCCCCCACACACACACCATGACGCTCGCGCTCAGCCCACACCTTTAAGTCACACCAGCGATTTGCTACCCGAAATAGGGGTGTGTTTTTTTGAAGATTTATTTATTTTATGCATACCAGAACTGGGGTACAGGCCAGAGGTGTGGGGCGGCGTTGAGAGGATTTATCAGAGACAGAGTGGGGAACAGAACAGACAGATTGACTGAAATACACTGCCGAAGGGAGCAGCGAGGCAGGAGACAGGAGAGGCAGGAGACAGGAGAGGTCTGCTGTGCCATGTGGGTAGCTCCCTGGCCAGGGATTGAACTCATGCTGCAGTGGCTGCGGACAGCTTCATAGGTTGCATCTTAACCCCTTGTGCCACCAGGGAGGCCCCTAACCGAAATAGGTTTTCATCTGGGTGGCTCTGGGCCAATATTTGGCCCTGGTGTTTCCAGACCCCTGGCTAGAACAGGCCCCTGAGGAAGTAGAGAGTGTTGGCGGCCAGATGAAAGGCAGCTTCACGTCCAGTCCTCGCCACTCACTCCGGCTCCGCCCGCTCCGGCATTTGCTCACCCTTCCGCTTTAAGGCGAGGTACTAATTATAAACTTCATATACTTTATTTTAAAATGTAGCTCCACATCACTGCCCTGAATGGAATGCCATTTCAGCCTGAGGTAATGCATAAAAACCCGAGGACAGGGGATAAATTCTGGCGGAAGCAGTGGCCTGCCTTAGCTCCTGCTGCCAACGCTCTGTACTTTGTTAAAAGGAGATTACTAATTTTTTATTATATTTCAAGCACAAACACAGTGTCTACTCTGTACCAGGCACTGTTCTGAGGGCTTTTCAAATTCTGACTCAAATCATCCTCATAATCTCTCTGCAAGTAGGTGCCATTGGTCCTCATTTATAGATGGGGAAACTGAGGCATGCACGTTTCCCTAACTTGCTACATACCCATCAGTCTCCCTGTTACCCCTCCTCAGAAAGGGTTAGGGGTGCATTGAAGGCACAGTGCCTCAGGGCTGAGCCTTCCTGATGTCTTCAAGGCAACATCAAAACAGTGACTTTCTAGCTGTGTGGCCTCTGCCGTGTCCCTTCAAATCACTCTTTGCTTGTCCCTTCAAATCACTTTGTAAGCGCAGCAGATGCTGTCCCGACAGTCACCACCCCACCCCCCGGGGGTGGGCAGAGCTCAAGGCTTGATTACTCTGCTGGGGGTTCCACTGGGGGTTCCAGGGAAGGCAGTTTGGGGATCAGTGCTTACCTGCCAGGAGGATGAGCAGCTGCAGCGCCACAGCGAGCATGTTAGGGCGTTGGCCTGGAGGGTCGAGGGAAGGGTCCGGGTTTAGTAAGGCCACCGGGACGCTGGGGCCAGTGTCTCTGGTTCTGGGTTTCCTCCTACTCGCTAGCCACCCAGGGTACACAGCTGGCCCCAGGGCAGAAAGCTGGCATTGCAACTCACAGGGCTGGGAGAGAGCGCCCCGGAGTGAAGTGGGGCGGGGCATGTGCAGACCCGCAGAGGGAGAAGGAATGGGGTGTTAAGTGAACCCCCCCAGGCAACCAGATGAGGGAGGCCCCGCCCCTTGTTACCCCCATCTTACAGACGGGGAAACTGAGGCTCTGAGAGGTGAAAGGGGGTGCAGGGGTCACCTTGCTAGGAGGCGGTATTTACAGCGGGCCTGTCTCTGCGTGGCTGTTCCAAACTCAGGACTCTCAGGGCCTCGGGGTGTTTTGGGAAGGGGGTGGTGGTGGGAGCCAAGTGGCAGGAAGCCTGGGTTCCTGGGTGTGTCTCCCAGAGACAGCTCAGAGCCTGCCCGCCCTGCCCACACTCAGCAGACCTTGGGCTGGGCCAGGGCAGGGCCAGAGAGGGGCCCTTCCGGCTGCTGGGGAGGAGAGACCACAGGCTGGCGAGGGAGTGGGGGCAGACCTGGGAGAGGAATCAGGCTCTGGCTCAGCTCCAGCCCCATCTTCTGTCCCACCCCTGTTTCTGCCTTGCCCCTGCCATCTTGCCCCGTCCCCTGTCCTGCCCCTACTCCTGCCTCTGCTCTCACCCCAGCCCTGCCACTCTCCCAGCCCTGCTCTAGCCCTTCCCCAACCCCAACCCCTACCCCAGGTCCTGACCCTGGCCCAACCCCAGCCGCTACCCTGACCCCAGCGCCTGCCCCAACCCCAGCCCCTGATCCTGGCCCAACCACTGCCTCTACCCCAGCTCCTGCGCCTTCCCCAGACTCTGCCCCTACCCCAGCTCCTGCCCCTGGCCCAACCCCAGCTCCTGCTAAGCTCCTCCGAGCAGCAAACACTTCCTCTCCCTGGGCAGCCAACAAACACTTCTACTCTTCCTGGGAGGCCTGCCCAGCATAAAACACTCTTCTAGACCCTTCTAGCCCCTTCCTCGGCTATCAGTCCATGCCCCCACCACCCAACATGGCTGCAGTAAGCCCCTGGCCTCTGCACAACCCCTGCCCTGTCCCTGCTCGGCCCAGCGGCCACCAGCACGGGGGCGTCACCGCCCTGGCAAGAGCCAGCAGCACTCACGCCGCCCGCCGGTGCTGGCGCCGCCACATGACCTTGCCACATGTTCACTCACCTCAACCCGACAGCCCCGGGGGTCACCTGCTACAGCTCCGGTTTGCTGCTGGCAAACACTGTGCCCCCTGAGCCTGCTGCGTCCCTCGGTCTCCCGCGCACAGCTGGAGTGGGTGCCCGCACAGCTGGAGCGGGTGCCCGGCTCGCCCCAGCCCTCTTACAACCCCAGGTTTTTTCTTGCTTCCTCATGTTTTCGCTCCCTCCCCCATTCTCCCGGGGCACACCCCAGCTTCTGGTCTGGACATGTTTTTCTTGCAGAAAGAGGGCCTGTAGCTTTGGGGAGCATTGCTAAGGTGTTGAGGACCCTGCAGAGTTTTGGGGAGAACTGGAGAGTAGGCAGGACAGCCCTGGGGCCCTGGGTGGTGTCCTAGGGGGTCCTGGAAGGGCTGCTGCTGTCTGAAGCCGCCTCCTGAGGCCTTGTCACCCCGAGAGACCCTAATACCAGTCCTAGGAGGCCGTGCCTATTGAGTGTGTGCCCCGCGCCGGCCTGGGCTCAGCTCTCCAGTTAATTTACTCATAGAATCTTCGCGGCTTGAGGAGGCAGCACTATGATTAGCCCATGTTGCCGGCAGCCCTGCCACCTTGGGACCCAGAGTCCCAGCTCTTACATCTTTTCCCACGGGTGCCTCCAAACCCTCAGACCAGCGGGACCTTCTCCATTACACCCCATCCCCAGGGCACCCCAGGCAGGTCTCAACCTGACATTCCCAGCCTGGCCCCCTCGAGGTCAGGGGAGTGGGTGCCTGGCTTGTGCCACCCCCCCCCCCAAGCTGCACCCCCGCTGGCTGCCCCAGGCCCTCTGGGGAGACCCTGCCTGCCAGGTCGGGCCCTATCTGCTCCTTCCCGCCCTGAGGGCCCAGCGCTGCCCAAGGCTGCCCACCGCCTGCTTCTCCTTCACCCACTGCCCACCCACTGCCCACCCTCTGCTTCTCCTCCACTACCCACCCTCCACCCTCCTGGTGGCTAAGGCCTAGCGAGCTCCCCGTTTTACTGCTTTGCTTCTGCAGGAAGCAGCTGTCCCTCCCTCCACCCAGTTTCCAGAACCCACACACCCCAAACCCCTGGCCACTGTGGGTCTACCCAGTCAGCACCCTTCCGGCCTCCCTCGAGGGGCTCATCCGCTCAGATACCCCCATCTACCCGGTGTACCCCCTCTGCACCACTCCCCACCCAGATACCCCTTGTCTAATCAGGTCTCACTTGGGGTGTCTCACCCAGCCCCCTGAGAGGAGAATGAAGGGGGGAGAATAGCATTAGGCCTTTCATCTCCTGTCCCCCTAAAATAAACCTTGAAGGAGGAAGTTTCTAGGGTCCTTCACAGCCGAGTGCTATGTGGCCCGGCCAGTGTGGGGAGGGGCCGAGATATTGTGAGGGCAGAGCCAAGAAGGGGGTGCAGGGAGGGGCCCCCAGCCCTCACCTGTGAGGCTCACCAGGCAGTCAGGAGGTTCCCGAGGAGAGAGTGGGCTGCCCCCGCCTGCCTGCCCGCCTTTATCCCCAGCCACCCCGCCCTAGGCAAACCTGGGCAGGTAGAGAACAAACCTCACTCCCAGTGCAGGGGCTCGGCCCCAGGCCCTGCTCTTAAAGAGACAGCTGCCCGCCCCCACCTTCTCCCAGACCCCGGGGCTGGGGTCCCCTGGGGTCTGGAGGTCACAGCTGTCTCAGGTGGGTGGAGGAAGAGGGGTGGGGGGTGGGGGGGAGGGGAGGGGCTGGTCCTCACCCCTCACAGTAGGGGCGAGGCCTTTCTCCAGCCTCCTGCCTCTCAGAACTGGGCTGGGAAGGAGGACATTTTGGGGGTGCTTAATGGCAGGGCCTCTGTCTGGCAGGGGGTGGGGACGGTGAGGCCTGCGGGCCATCTAGTGTCTTCCCTGGGACTGTGTCAGCTTGGAGAAGGTGTCGGCCATTCCGGAGCCCCAGGGCACCCTCCCAAGCCTCTGTTGCTGGTGACTCAAGGGTCAGCAGAAGATGCTGATGGGACCAAGGCGGGAGGTGGGGGCTGAGGGGGCCCGGGAGCAGGGGTGCAAGGGGGGCCTCTTGGGCCATAGACATGACACCAATAGCACCCTAGGGAGACTGGAGACTCACTCATGAGCCCTAGGACAGACCTTCCTAGCCTAGGCCCTCCCCAGGGGTGCTGGGGCCAAATGTCTGGGTCTACACCATCGGCCGAGGTTATTTCAGTGGGGGCTGCTTCCCACCCCGGATAAGCCTCTGCCCTGTGCAAGCCTCCCTGCCCTCCCCCTCGCCTGCCCCTCCTCTTCACGGCATTCCTTCCGGCTGGGGTCTGTGCAGGCCCCCACATGGTCCTCGTTGGGGTGCCCCCTCCCCCCAATTCCGCCTTTTTACACAGAGGGACTTTTGTCTGGGGGCTGGATGGAGAACAAGGCGCCTTTGAGTGGCTGGCGGAGGATTGGGGTCATGGGGAGGGGCAGGGCCAGGAAAGGGGTGGCTCTGCGCTGGCCACCAGCTGGGCTCCGGGCGACCCCCAACACCATCATGGAGGGTGGGAGAGGAGCCCACAGGAGCCCGGCTAGGAAAGGGTTCCACTGGGAGTGTGCAGTGCTGGTCCTGGAAAGGGGGTTTCGAGGTCAAGGCTCTGCTGGGTACTGTCTGATGGGGGTAGGGAGAAAGGACCCCCCACTTCTCAGCAGGGAGGGACAGGGTGGCAAGGAATGCTTGCCCAGCTACAGGCTTCCTTTATGTGATTCCCTTGGGCAATGCTCTCTCCATCCCATGCTGCAGATGAGGACAAGCCCCCCCCAACCTTGCACCCCCATTAAGGAGGGGCTTGTCCTGACAGGGAGTGGAAGGGGCACTCAGGGTAGGACACAGTCAAAACTGGAAGTTCAGGGAGAGACAGAAGAGAGGGGAGGGCTGGAGGTCGAGGGGAGAGGACCCCAGTCCAGCTAAGGGTGTCCTTGAGTCGGGACAGATAGTGTCCCCTGCCCAAATACTTGAAGATTGCTGTGCGGGGGAAGCCCCCTTTTGTGGTCTCTGGAGTAGAGTGGTGTCGCCGTCTGCTGGTAAGATCAGGAACTGCAGGTGTCAGGGACCTATTCAATAGATAGGGGAGCGTTCCTTGTAGGGTTGGTGGGGGACCTTGGACTTTCCCTTGCTGGAGCCTGCAAACTTCCATGGCAAATGGCCAGGGTAGGGGCTCCGGGGGTGGGGAACAATTCCCCACCCCTCTCTGGATTCTTCTCTGGCTGGTTGAGCAAACAAATTAACATCTGACAGAGTCATAGCAGAAAATTTCACTAGGCACCTGGAGAATTGACACCCATAAATGCTAATGTAAACGAGACAAAAGCACTAAAGAATGGTATGGGGCGTCAAGGAGAGAGGCGGGGTCTCACATGACTGGGAGAGGATGACTCATGCGACAAAACCAGAGTTCCAGATGTTTGTCCTGCTTTCAGTTGGTTCTGATAAAAAGGTTACTTCTGGGGATGACCCTAAGTCTGGGAGCTCTTCATTCCTCAAGGTAATGGTAACAGTTCCGTTTGAAGGCGGTAAGTCCTCAGGTGACCTTGGCGCCACATACCAAGGGGACACATAGAGAAAAAAGCCTGCTCTGATCATCGCCAGGGCCTGTCCTTCCCAAGACCAGCAGGGCAGGCTCGTGATCACAAGGCTCAGGGGCAACTGGATGTCGTCCTGCATGAAAGCTGCCACCAAAACCTTGAACGAGCTTCTGTGAACCATAAGAACATCTCCCAGAGACCTCTGCTGCAGAGAAAAGGCTAGATTTGCAGAAGAGTGCTACCATTTAAAAAAAATTTTATTTATTTATACAAGCACTGGGTACCATCAGAAGTGCGGGAGGGTGAGAGAATTCACCAGAGCCAGAGCGGGGAACAGAACACGCAGACTGACGAAATACACTGCTGAGGGGAGCAGCGGGCACGGCAGGAGAGGTCTGCATGCCACGTGGGACCCTCGCCTGGCGGCTGGGGAACGAACCGGCGCTGCAGAGGCTACAGGCAGCTTCACAGCCCAGCGCTCAACTGCTGTGCCACCAGGGGAGGCCCAAGAGTGCTACCATTTTTGAGGAGGAACAATGCAAGTGCAGATACTTGTTCATGAGGAAAGCATCTTGGGGCTTGGCGGCCACAGTGGGGTACTGGGACGCTGGGGGACAGGGTGGGCGGGAGACTCCCTCATGATCATGACCCTCATGTCCTTTGCATTTTATGTCCTGGAAAGGTCCTACCTTGCAAAAAAGGTTAGATTAAAAGAGTAAGGAGTAGGCTTGCTCTACCCAGTTCTAGCCAATGTTGCTTTATTTTCAATAACTGTCAGAAACCTGAACCTTTATGCAGAACTGCCAATAGAAAAGTTGGTTCTGATTTTTTAAAAGTTATGCAAGTCAAAGAAAATATATCTAAGGACTGGCCTGGAGGACTACCAGTCAGAGGCTTCTGCCAAGATCATTTCCTGGTCCATGAAATGCATTGTCTTGCATTCTGGTATCAATATAGATTTTTGTGGGGCTTATACCCAACTCGGACCAACTGTAAACTCCTTCTAGGGTGGACTGGAGTGTGGCATGCCCGCATGTGTGATGGGCTGGAACTGGGGCGTGTGCCAGGAAAGGAAGTAGCTGAGCCCCCCGAGTGGGTGGGTAAGGTGTGTACACTGAGACTCTGGGTGATGTTGCAAGGGCTGGAGTGTGTGCAGCCTCTGCGACCCCATGAGGAACCTCTTGGGGATGAGTTTCCCTGGCCAATTTGACTGCAGTCATGTTTAAAGCATGCCTACTCATTTATAAATATTCTTTATTTGTATATATGCATATCACTTTTATATTTATTACATAGCCTCTATATTATTTATGTATTAAAGCATACATAAATATTAAATCATTAAAATATCAAAATATATAGTATTTTCTAGATCTTTATATTTATATCTTACACATACATTTTACATATTTATTTTATATAGAATGCATATTTACATACATATATTTTGTATATAGGTAATATTTTACATATAAATATGCTATACATATTTGTTATGTAGATAACGTTTATCGAAATGTCTCCCCTTCATTTTGCTTTTGAAGTTATTTGTCCTTGAAGAACGTGCCCACTGTGATTGGCTGTGTATTTCTTAGTATTCTGGGGATTCTTGTTTTTTGGTTTTGGGTTTTTTTTTTGATGATTTATTTATTTATGATTACAAGAACTGGGGTACAGACCAGAGGTGTGGGGGTGAGAGGATTCATCAGAGACAGAGTGGGGAGCAGAACAGGTAGATCTACTGAAATACACTGCTGAGGGGAGCAGCGGGTGAGACAGGAGAGGTCTGCTGCATCATGTGGGTAACTCCATGGCCAGGGATCGAACTTGCGCCACAGAAGCTGCAGCCAGCTTCACAGCGCTGTGCTCAACCCCTTGCGCCACCAGAGAGGCCCAGAGGATTCTTATAAAATGACAACCCCAAGCACATAGAGAGTTTCGGAACATGCTGAAGTTTTCAGGATCCCTGAAATAAATTACAAAATCCAGGCCAGAGGGATTTGTCACTGATTAAAAATTTTATTAATGTTGGTGTCATTTTATTCTTCACCTGTCAGGCTGAGTTTCCATGGGTTCCTGGCGAATTTAGTGCCTAGAAGATCCAATCTGGGGGCTGGGGGCTGGAGGCACCCCACCCATGAGAGGCCATCTGGGGGAGCCAGGACACCAACTTCCCAGGTTGAGGCTGGAGGCTGGGGAGGTGAGAACTCAGTGAAGCTGGGGAGGTGGGGGGAGCAGGAGCTGGCGGTTGCCAGGCTGTCGCTCTGGAGCCTGTGGTCAAGGGCGTGGCAGTGGCCACCTGGCTCCAGGACCCAGTGAGGGGGCACACAGAGAGGCCAAGGTCTCCAGCCTTAATGAACTCTCCTGCCATTGACATGTCAGTGACTTTTCATTCCCTTGGCACGCCGGGGCCAGATGAAATGCGTGCAACGGTTGGCTCAGGCCCTGTGGCCATCAGCTGGGGCCCCTCATTTTAGGCACTAGGCAAAGTGCAGGGAGGTTCAGGTCCCCCCCAACCCTGATCATGCTGCTCCAGCCACCTCAGCCTCCAGGCTTGCTTCTACCTCAGGGCCTTTGCAAAAGCTGTTCCCGCTGCCCAGAATTCTTGGCCCACCTGGCCACACAGCTCATTCCAGACCTCCTTCAAGTCCGGGCTCACATGCCTCCTGACCGCCCTGTTTAAAATCACATGCACCCTCTGGCCTCGCGTGTCCCCCTGACTTAGCCTGTTCTTATCATCTTCAGAGAAAGGTTCTCTTTGCTTTTTCAGTTCTGGGCCTCTCCTGCTCGCAGGACTGCTGACAGCCTGGCCAGGGGAATTTCATTGGAACTGGAGAATAAGTCCTGTCACAAGCTGTCTGCTAAATAATAAGGGGGTGAGTCTTTGCAGGAGTGGGGTGGGGTGGGGAGGGCGG